CCCAAGAGCATTATGTATTTTTTGAATGACCCCTTGTAGAGTTGAAATTTGAGTCAAAATTGTAATGAAGCATCAAGTCTCTCACTGAGGTGATGGATAGCTGATTTTTTTTTCCTTCTTTTAAGGGAATGCTCAAAGTGTCTGAAAGTTGCAACAATGGCCTGTAGAGTTGACCGCCTATTATTATTTTTTTAGTTTACACTGAGACCAAAAACCGTGATGTAACTGTCCAATTAATATATAACTTTCTCAAAAGTGGACTTGCCGTAACATCATTATTAATGTAACAAAATTGAAAATCAAAATGTATGAAATAGCAAGTGATACTCTACCATTGCAAGTTTTTTGCTTCCATTTACAATTAAAATATTGTGGTTTTTTTTTTCATTTTAAATCGTGATAGTACAGATTTTCAGTATTACCTTTATTTAAGCTCTCCAGGCCATTTTGCATTTATTTTTTTATTCATCTGTCCATCTTGATGTATTTTTGGTCTATAAGCTCCTTGAAGAGTCTCTGATGTTAATGCTTAATGTTAACATACCTGAAATCTAACTATTTAAGTCCAATCCAAATCAAATCAGCTTTTCTTTTGCTGTTTGAACCCTTTCAAGTACTTCAAAATTCATCGGTCTGTCAAATTATTTATTTTACCAATTGACGTATTATATATGACTGAATAAACTTCAGCGTGTATATAAAAATTGAGTGTATTTAAAGTGAATCCAAGCAGCACTTTAATAAATGATGAAATTCTTTTGATTTACAGTGGTTTGTAAGTTTTACAAGAACACTTGAAAAGTCGGATCCATAAAAAGTAGAGGTAGTCCCAAAAAAGTGTAAACAAATTTAGAAGCTTTTGTACCTTCTTTTTGACATACTGCCGAATTAAATACAAGACAATGTAATGTGTGTGTATCATATATCATACCATTGTAAATTAGAATTATTTTTCATTTTTATCAAAGTGATGTGTCTAGGGTGGTTAATTTCCTCTTTTTGTTACAAGGAGATGGAGCAATGGTATTGTTATTGAGTGCACTGTGTCAGCTCACTGTGTAATAATTTCTTGAAGGAGAAAGAAAATAAGTTCTGTCAGGAAACAAGTCTATATCGATGGCCGAAGTGCGAGACCACGTATCTGTATTGCAGTGTTACAACATTTTTGTTCCTTTTTCATTTTTCAAAGAGAATCAAGCCAACTTTATAGCTTGAGATTTATACAAAATATTCTGCTAACAGAGCAGCAAAATCAAGGAAATTTTGAAGAAATTACGCTGACTAGTTTAAAGAGAGGAAGAAAAAATTGACAGGATATACCATCGGTACAAGTATCTATCCATGAATGGCATTATGTCAGCTTTTTGAGCAACAGCCTGGAACTCCTATTCCTCACCAATAGCATTGCTCCACTCTCCTACATTTTTGCAGCTAACAACATAGAGAGAGAAAAATTGGCTTGTAGGACTCATCCAATAAGTGCAATGCCGTAAGATGCTAAGAAAATATTATCTGTGAAATAAGCTGAAAAGACACTCAGTTAGAATGCACCATTGCACTATCAAGTTTCAAATGCTAGTCTTCTTTTTTTGTGTCTATTCATCTTGTCTCGCCTCTAATGGTTCCTGCTATAATATTTCAATTGTGGCCTGTTGAGTTTTGTTTTTGTTCTATAGCTCTTGTTCATTTATTTTTGTTGTTTAATTTATTTATTAATTAATTTATTTTTTCTCTCTGATTCAAGAATTGAAGTCGGTGACTCTTTAATCATTCAAACTTCTGTAACAAAAGAAAAAGAAAGAAAGAAAGAGAACATTTTTTATGGTAAGGAATTTTTGAAAGTTCCTGTTCTCCCTGAATTGACACGATGAACGTTCGAACTATGCAGATTTTTGTATGTTTGACCTCCTAAAAAAAACAAAGACTTAGATCATATCCAGGTATGCCAGCTGGCATTCCAGGTTTTTAGTTTTTCTCAAAAATTGTTACCGCACTCTGGATATGTGCGCGAAATTATCATCATCTGATGCACAAATATGAAATTTGAAAGAAATCGTTGCTCATCATACTTCCAGCTTTCTTTTCAGTCACAGATATTTCAACTTTGTAAACGAAAAATACAAAAATTAGTTTTTTCCTCACCTCTTAAATATCGTTAATGTTCAGATTTGTATTTTGTTGGTGGGATGATATTAATGTGTGCATGAAATTAGCTCTTTGATTTAAGTTTTGTACAGTTGCCTTTGCCAAGAGAGCAAGTATGAAAAGTGACATCTCTCGTGTCTCAGAGCCTCATACCAATTTAGCTGCAGATAAACGTCTAAATTAACAATGTTTGAAATAAAAGCGAAGGGTACAACAGCTAAAATGCCAAACAGCTAAATTGCTTTGGAGGGCTACTTTCCATGGCCTTGAAAAAGCAAATGTAATGTTGAGTGTGTGTGTGTGTGAGTGTGGAGGAATGACCCTACCCACTTATTTTTTTCACCATTAACAACACTATAAATTTTTAATTTTTGTTTCTGGTTACGTACTGTTAAACAGGAAATGTTACCAAATCATGCATTCAACTATTTCAATTGTGTTTTATAAGGGGGGTGTGGAACTATTTTTATTGAAAAAATTGCATTATTATGTGTATAGAAATATTTTTCTTCCTTATCTTCTCTAAAATTGGTGAAAATTCGTAAAAGAGGAGCATTGTAACGAATTCTGTGATTCTTCTAGGGGTAATGGTTGAAAAATCGAAAAAACAGTATTATAAAATACCTACTTGAAACCCCCCCCCCCCCNACCTCTCAATGGGAATATTTGAGAGAGAAATTATTTCTAGTCATCAAAGAAAGTCAGTAAAGTACATCGCTTGTGTTTTGCGGCTATGCAAGGCCTTGCAATGCAAGTATCATTTTCCACGTAGATCTGCGTTCAAATTTTTTTCGACATGTCTGTCTGGGAAATTGCTTTAATTTTTCAAAAATTTCATGCAATTAAATCATTGACACAGCCTTTTTCATCAACTCTTAATCTATTAATCATTGCAATATTAATGTGATAACATAATATGTACACTGTAAATTTCATTTTTAAGTTTTAAAATGTTTATTAACTGTTAGATGTACTAAGAGCCTGTTAATTGTTATGTTTGCTTTTAAAAGTTTATTTTTTGTTTGTGTCATTATCTGACGGCTGTGTGGTGTTCAATGCAAAAAAAAGAAAAAAAACAGGAAACGAATTCTTTGCCCTCCTCTCAATACCTATCTCTAGAACTGTACCCTTTCATTTCTATAGATTCCTTGTAATTCACTGCTCTTGACACCACAATTTAGAACGTACCCAAAGAGTTTTTCAGAAGAAAAAATCAGAACTTTGAAGCTGCTAAGAGTGTTTTTAGTTTCTCGAATAATGACGGTTTTAACTCATCATGCCTTCCTTGGTTTATTTTTTTGAATTATCAATAAGCCCAATAAAAGCTTGGTTTCTCTGAAAATCAAAACTTTTTTAAACTCATCAGAAAACTGAAATAGATAATTCCTTAGATACTTAACTTTCTGCTTAATAGGTGCACAATGGCAGCCTAATCATATAAAAATACTCTCTAAGTAATTGTTGAGGAATGCACCATCTGGTATGAAACCTGGACAATTGTTTTTCAATTCCACCATTATTGTTTTGTAACTTAAAATATCAGAGATCACCATGTGCGTGCATTTGCGCGTTATAGAAATAGATTAGGAGTTAGCTTCCTTAGATAATTCTCAAGAATAAGTTGACACCCCGAAGCAAACTGTAGTAGCACCATTTAAATTCCAGGCTGTTGTACAGAGAATAATGAATGTCATTTAGTAGAAGAAATAATATTTTTTTCCATCAGACAAATATAAGATTACTCAATGTGACCACGTCCATAGATATTTCATATTTGTCTGTCTCTGTGATCAAATACCAATCAAAGTATTTACTTCTACGTGGAAAAATAGTGGCCTGTTTACTTTCACAAATGCTTTCAGTTGGCTGAATATTTTAGTTACTTATTCAATGATGAGGCATGTTTTGACGGTTTCATGTCAATTGAACTTACATCATAATTGTAGGGTTCTGGTTAAAAGCTGTACCCTGCAAACCAAAGCCTGTGATTAGCAATGTTACCAGAAGTATGGGAAAATTCCAAGTAAAAAAAGTACTCACTTTACCACCAATTCTATGTATTTTAGTTTTCCCTCTCCAATCACCTCCATTCTGTTATGAGATGCCATTCTGTGATTAATTAAATTTTAATTCCGCAACCTGTACATACCGCTGAGAGCGTGTACTTAATTTTAATTATACCACACACTTAGATTATAAATAAATTATTTTCAACATGCCCCAGAGTATTTTTCTACGTCTCCTCTCTACTTTAAGAAAAAAAAAATGTCTTCCTTATGGATTCTAGGATGATCCACCTTTAAAGTTTTCCAAAATATATAAATCAATTTGCAGCCAGCTAGATGAAGACTCTCTTGCGTAAACTATATTGAGCTTATTGAAAGTACATAAGTACTCATGCTCAGCAAGAGTAAAATGAAAATACAGAACTAGTGTAGTACTGAAAAACTTAATAACGATAGACTTTGCTGTTGAACAAACTAATTTTTAGAAAGATTCCAAAGGAAAATGAGTCAAGAATTGAAATATAATTTGATCAATTCAGTGGATTTGAGTATGAGATTTATTATTTCTCCTCAAAGAATATTAGTCAAGTAGTAGTCGGTGGAATTACTGCTGAGTTGCGAAAAAGAAAAAATGATCAAGCTGCAATTTTTTAACATTGCAAAGGGAATTAAGAGCTTGCCTGTAGGTAGCCCTTATCAATCTAAAGGCAACGCATGATTATGATACCGGCGTGTTGCCTATGCGATGAAATTGAAGGCGAATTTCAGGAGGACGAACTCAACCCATCAACCACTGTCCGTCTCCCCTTAATTTGTTGCCCATGTGGCAGAATTAATTGATGGCAAATTGGCTAACTTCAGTGTACTCGATATGTAACAACAGGTCCACACATCAATCAATGAAAATGCAGTGAGAAAATTGTACGTTTTTCACTCAAAAGTAATTTATCGTGCTTAAAGGAAAGCATATTGCCTATGTGGTGGAATTGAAGGCGAATTTGTGTGTGAGTTGACAGAATTCATCCACAACCATAGTCGAAGTAATCAAGGCAAGGCTGTTTATGACGTCACGACAAAATGAGTCGCATATGGACCGTAACACAAACATAACCTCAATAAATAAGTGCTTCGGTGTGGTGTTGATGTGGTGTGTAAGAAAGAAAATTTAATTCATTTAATCATTTAAAGCATTTTGAAGACAATAAAGAAAGAGAAACAGTAGCCTCTCTTATCCACTCTTTGTGTTACGATGGTCATTTTTCGCTGTTTGTTGAAAAGAACTTGTGAACTCAACAATATTCGTACTGTACCAAATGTTTTTTACCATCGCTGCTCAGTATTCCGTACCAATAAACAAGCTTGTGAATTGAACGATGGACCAAACAGCTCAAGCTCTGAAAAATCATCCGTAAGCAAAGATGTTTTGATAATTAATACACCTGTGCCTCAAGACTCACAGCGCTCAGAGTCTTCAATCCCTCCATCCTTTCCATCAAAAAGCAAGTATGATGATTCTATTCCAAGTGTGTCTCTAGAAGCTCTCGGCATACGTATTCCCCATGCTTTGGACACTTGTTCCGAAAATGTATCTCATGCGGCACCTCCCTTGCAGCCATCGGTATCTTTTGCTGCATATGTGAATGACTCTCCCACTCTGCAGGAGCTAGTGAAACTAGATGTGCAGCTGTGGAAATTTGAGAAGAAACCCGATATATGCAATTACATTCTTAGTCTGGACTATGACAGAGATATGAAAAATCATCTCTTGTAAGTATACTCTCCTTTGATCGTCCCTAATTTTTGCAAGTTTCTTAAGGACGTCTTTTGATAGTGTCATATCAGCCGAACAAGTTGTAAGTGAGGAGAGTCAATGAATAAATTTTTACAAGACAACTAAATTCTCTCTTAAGCTCTATCTAGGGTAGCCTAGAACCAAATTGGGTGCTGAAATAAAATTTGGTCCGTTGGTGCCTTACCAAGACGACAACACAATCAATCCTACACTCTTGACTTTAAATTCACGATCAGCAATCGGAAGAATACCCATAAACATATGTTGCACGCCAATAAAGGCGATACTCTAATTAATTCTGCCTAGATCGGGCTCTGGAATCAATGTGAACTGTGCCTCTGAACTCCGGCCAAGAGCGCACGACAGATGTCATTTGCGGGTTCCTGCTCAGGTCATTTTTGTGACCCGAGGGATCATAGAGTGTGGAAATTTTTGTCTAATTTAAATTTATCATACCATGACGGCTGGAAAAAATTTTGACTTTTTCTCTTTTTTATGATTCTGAAGACTTGTCAATATCGAAGAAATTTTACTGACTTTGGCCAAAATTGTAAACTGTAAGGTCTTTGAGCGACCTCTAAATTTTCGAATTTTGAGCTGAAAATTTTTTTGGTATGTTTTTTCATGAAATGGAACCAATCGAGGATGTGCTGTCATAACATTTCAGACTTTCCCCAAGTAAGCTGCACCAGCTAATGCACTCACTCCACTCTCAATCTTACAAAGACAACTCTCAATATGAGCTACTACCTTCGTCTCCCAACGGATTCTATTATTAAGCCTCAGAGGAACTCCAAAATCCGAACATATTTAAAAGATTAGTGTACCTTGCTCATTTTAAAACATGTGTTTAATTCGTGTGCAATTTATATGTATAAACAAAAAATATCTCTGTTTTTTTGTCAACTCATGAATTTATTGTTTTTCAAAATAGGTTCTTACACAAAATTGGTGTCCCAGGAGAAAATTTTGGAAATATAATCACTAAAAATCCTTTTATTTTTAAAGAAGATCTAGACAACCTTCAAATTAGAGTTAATTATCTGGAATCAAAAAAATTTACGGGGCCAGAGATTGCAGAAATCATAATGAAGAACCCAAGGTGGCTTTCCTACACGTAAGTTTACTCTGATCGATAATTTACTGTAAGTTTAAAATAGCTAAAAACAATGCTAGTGCCGGATTGGCCTGAAAAACGGCCCAAAGCTCCATCAGATGATTGGCCCTTTCCCTCATACCCCCCGTATGAGGGGATTTCCTGTGGAAGTGTAAGAATTTCCCTCTGAATAAGGAGTCCAAAGGGCGGAAAAAATATATATTAAACGCGGAAGCTCATGATAGTTTCACCTAGTTTGTGCCTTTTTCAAGTATAATTTGTATAAATCCGGGTTCTGTCTTCTTTGTACCTGTTGCTTAGAGAAAATTACAATCGTAAAAAATATAATAAAAATTGATTAAATAAAATCCAACTACAAATATCTACCATTGTGAGCCCTTTCGAACTTCGGCTGACCTAGGATAATTTTTATCACAGGAACAGCCCTAATTTTTGTCATGCTCTCTCTCAGTTAAGTAAAAACTGATGTTCAATGTGAAAATAAAGGACGGGGCAAGAAGAATAGGACATGAGAAAGTCCATTATTTGAGGAAGCAAGTTCCAGTGGTCCAGCCCCTCAAGCAAAAAGATGGGCCCTCCCAGTATTTGCTGAAAGAGTCCTGAGCTTTAACCTTAGCGTCTCCCCTTTTTTTTCTCTTTTACCATTATTCTCTCCTTCTCTTCTTTTTTCCAATTTTTTCTCACGGTAACAGCTTACTAGAAAAAGTTCTGCTAGTCCTATAAGTATGGCCAGTCTGGGCCTGATACAGTGCCCATCAAAAAATATTCAATCTTGTAAACACTTGTATCTGACAATTAGTCATCAAACAATGTAAGTAATATACATAAACATGTTCGCTCGAAGAAAGAAAAGAAAAAAAAGTATTAAATTCATCTTGACTGTGATATTTTATTCAGTTAATCTTGATTTTAATTTTCACCAGGACTCAAGACATTGACACCAGGTTAGGATTTCTCCAGCATACCTTAAATCTAACTGGACAGGAGGTGCGTTTGATCGCTGTTGGAGAACCTTATGCTGTAACAAAAGACACTGCAGACATTTCGGTACATCTTTTCTGTTCATTATTCATACTAAAAGAGTTAAGGTTTATCTTGTACTAGGGGGCTGCGCCCCCTGGCCGCTCTGCGGTCCGACCCCCCCTCTGATGTGCAGATATCGAGAGATTGTTAAAAGATCATTAAGAGTTAGGGAAAACCCGGTTTGGAGACGGCGGGAAGCATGTGAGCGTGCGCAGCGGGAGGGGAGCAGGAAGTGGAGAAGAAACTGGTTCGTGACATGATTAGCGTTACACCCTCAGCGTGACACCCTCAGCATGACACGGCACTCTTATGATTTTATACTATAGAGTAAGATTTAGATTTTGAAAGTATAAATACGTCTGGGTCCAAGTGATTCCCTTAAGAACTGTCCATGTAGGTCGGGAAGTTAATGGAAGGGTCCAAAATTACTGGAGGTATAGCAATATCATGCTTTGTAAAAAGTATTTTTTCAAAATTTAAATTAATTTGAACAGCTTTAAAGATCCTACAAGGCCCTTTAAACTTATCTCTTCAATCTCATCAAAGAATTCATAATTGAACAAGGCACAATGAGTCAATGATTGGTCAGCAAAACAGAAAATTATTTTGTATAACTACCTAACTGACTGGAACAAATTTGTTCTATCAAGCATTTGGTTTCAAAGCTCCAATTTTCAGATTTAACAGAGTTGCAGCATCTCCTTTTTTAAAGAAGAATGCCAGTTTTCAGGCCTAATTTCTCTAACGATGAGTTTGAAGGAAGTAAATAAGTTTCATCAGAAAATCATCGAATTTTTGTCTATTTGCTGTATGTTAAAGCGTCCGCAGACATAGTAGCACGCCTTTTATTTTGAGTTTTTAAAAATCCTTCAAGTTCTACAGTACGGTAGGAGATCGAAATGAGAGCATTTGCAGGACTTGCTAAATTCAATTATTTTCTTGGGAAATTTTGATGTAAAACTGAAAAAATACTGACTTGTCCCGCTTATTTATAATTGAAGGAGCAACATAACATTCATTGCACTCAACTTCCTGAGTTTCTCACAATACAGGAAGAATATTTTGAAGTTTCTAAACTTGCTCAAAGCAAATATTGTAACCTATCAGCACCTGACAATTCCATGCTGTCTGATTGCAGAAAAACATAGTGGCTGGGCAATCTCTCGTGCCAAAATTATTGAACCCAATAAGTTTTAACTTACCTATTCCAATTTGAAATCATATCTAGAAAATGATGTATCTCAGGGGGCCATTCCAGAAGTGCATTCTGTTGACGGCAATGATCAGACCCTTTCGTTTTAATAATCTTTCGTTATTGTCATTAAGAATCATTCAAAAGAAATAAAGGCGCACCCCTGACTTTCTGAATGGCACCAACGCTCATGTGCGACTTGCTTTCCGAAAATTCCTGAGGCCTATCATAAGAATTTTACTAATGCTCCCATGTGCTTATGTTGGCAGATTTTAGTTTTCTGCCTTAAAGAAGAGATGGGATTCGAAGATGAAGACATCACAGCAATAGCAGTTATGGAACCGAGATTACTCACTTATAGTAAGTACATACAGTATCTATTTGTCGTTTAGCTCAGCAGTACAGCACAATTTCAACTATCTAAAAATTCAATGAACCATTAGACAAGGTACGAATTTAAGCATTCTGTTACTTGTTACTTACCCAAAATTTCACCTAGAACACGATTCACATAACAGAAAATACCAACTCCTAACCAAGGTATTCCATATTTCTTGACGCGTAAATTCTGACCTCCTCTTCATAAAAAACAGAAATCTACTTGAGTCAAACTGCGCACTAAACGTTACCGTAGCAGTCTCTGCTGTATGAAAAGATGGCAACCTCAATCTCAGTGCTTCAGCTCAGCTGTTGCTTGTTGTTAACACTCGGAACAGCACAGTGTAGGGAAAGAACTCTGGATGGTTATGAACAACCCAGTGCAGGGAAGTTTTTCAAATTTTCAATGATAATCCATTTCAGAGCAGAATTTTCGTAGACAACAATCAAATCATCCATTCTTTTACTGTTTGATGTTTATGAAGGAAATGACTTGAAGTGTGATCCCACCTTTTTGAAAGAACTATTTGCAAAACAGAACTAGGCCAAGTCATCAGAGTAATTAAAGACAAACAATATTAACCAAACCAAGACACAAGTTACCTTAGGTGATGTTGTGGAAGAACTCTCACATGTCTCACTCTCACTCTCTCATATTTGTCTTCTTGCAAACTTCAAGAGTTTAGAATGTATTCAAATCCCACGCCATAAATTGAACAGTATGCTCAAAGTCACAAGTCAAAGTCAAAGTAAGCATAGTCTATTTTTGTCCATGAACCATGCAGTGAAACTCATGAATTTGTAACGCGAGGTTTCAAAATTTCCACTTTCCTTTATTTTATCATCAAAAGAAAATATTGACTGTCATTCTTGTGAAATCTTCATAGAATATTTTTACACAGACAAAAAAATGCTGATTATTACAATTTTGAAAGAAATGGTTGGTTTTCAATTTTTGAAATATGGTACAGATGTGACAGGAAGTTTGCAAAATTGCAAACCATAATAGAAGATTTTCCAATTTCACCAATGATTTCCATTTGCTGACTTACAACATACCCCATTGAAACTGAACTGGAAAGTTTGTTAAAATGTGAAGTACACATAAGTTTATCGTAAAATTCTTTCATTAATTGTATTTTTTACTGTTGCAGAAAATTTCAGACTGTTGCCGACATTTAATGAAATTCACAATGAAATGGGAATCCCGCATGACTTAATCGTAAAACAACCACAAGCTTTGATGCGATCTCCTCGTATTATTAGGCAGAGGCATCTTTACTTGAAGCTGATAAAACGTGATCAATATGATCCAAAGAAAGAAAACTACGTTTCCTTACAGGCATTAGTTGATGGAGATGATACAGAATTTTGTAAAAATGTAGCGAAAACAAGTGTAGAGTCTTACAACACTTTTCTGAAAACATTGTGAAGGTAACTCGCTTTCTCAAAGGTCCCCCTGAATTCAGACTAGGATTCATTTTCAAAAGGTTACCCCCAATCATTTGTCATCATGTTTGCCCATCTGTCCGACTTTAAAAAAAAAAACAACTGTTTCATGAGATGATCAGTTTAAAACATAACAACCAATAGTTAAAAAGTGATAGTAGAATGTGAGTTCGCGAGGAAATTTATTTGTGGTGCTATTAAAATCTCTTTATTCTGTATGGCTTTGCTCATAAATGAGTTCTTGGTCATTTTCTCACATTTTTTATTTTCACAACAAGACTTGATCTAGTCACTAAACTGTTGCTGAAGTGGTAGGTTTTTTAAGAAGACGGATATTTGGAGTTAGTCCAATTTTTTTTGGGATAAGAAAAGGAATCTACTCTTCATGTGTGATTTAAGCTGTGGAGGAGAAAAGAAGGAGGGTGGTTGTTCAATTAGTTTTAAAAGATGGCTTTTGAATTCATATTCAAATCAAATCTGCAAGCGGCGAAAAGTGCTGAGAATTTCACTTGAGCTCTCTTGATGGTTTATGTAGCAGTCTGTTGCTGTCCTAGTTTCACTGCAACATTTTAGAAGTCTTTGGTCCGTGGGAACATATTTTTAGGTGCCATTTACAATCTTCTTGATTGATAATTTTTGGTAGCAAACTCAACAAGACGCAAGGGGCTGCAAGACCAAAAGAAACGCAGAAAAATCAAGTCCCAATGAATATTTTACATGCCACTTTTGGCGCAGTGCCGCTTATGTTTAGCCAATGAATCCTGCCTTTTAGGCTTATATAGCCCATGGCGCCTGATCAAGTTTGAATACCCCAGTCCACTCATAGCATAAGGTGTGTTTTTGAAAATACTTTCATGTAAGATCAAATGTAGACAGTCATCCTATCAGTTGTAACTAAACAAGCTTAATATTGATATCAACACTAAAGAGTAAGTATGTATCATGTTCCATGACTGTTGGCTTGTAGGGTGCAATTTGTTGAAACTTCTTGGTGTGTGTTAGGAAGGCTCTCACTCCAGGCAGTTTTTCCTATTAATTTTTCAGGAAATCATCTTGCTCATATTATGGACAACACTTCTGGCCTATCTACAAAGCAGCATGATCAGAACTGAGCTCTTTGTTCTAAAAAATCGACTTGGCTATGTATGTGTCACCTTTTTTTTTTTTTTTGCTGAATGGCTACACTATTACCGATGAAACGACAAGTAATGTTATGGTCTAATGTTTTGAAAGTGTGTGAAGCCATGTATTTTCTGTAAACGGAACTGAATATCATTATGAAAATAACAGCCATCTGGTGAAGGTATCACCTCCTGTCAGTCAAAATGTATTTATCAATAAATAGCATCATGCAGTGATCTTACCATGAAAATTATTATACTCCTCCTTTTCTCTCTTACTCATTTGTAAAAAGATACCAGGTGATGGAACAAAATAGGTTTTCTAGCAGCCTGAAAAGTTGTGTGACTGGACATGGAAAAAGGAGACTTACAGTGAAACGTCAAATTTTTCGGAGCGCAAAAAATTCAGGTTGAAATTATCTATTGTCTGTTCTCGATGTGAATCAATCTCCAATACTCAAAAATATTGTGTCAAAATTTCAATTTAAAATATGCATTTTTAACAAAGTTATTTACATTTGAATCAAACAAGTCAGAAGCTGGCAACAGTGCGTCGGCTTGTTTCTCTTGGGTAAAGTCAAATATCGGGTGCTCTTACCAGAAAATAGTGTGGAATGGATCCCTTTATGCAGTGGTATACTAATCTAAAAATCTGTCTTTTTCACTCCAAGTCCCCGTTTCCAATGCCTGGTTACATATCAACGGTGAAACTACCAGACCACTCGACCTATCTCGACCTATCTCGATTTGCTGCGTTGTAGACTTCCTGTCATACTTTATTTTTTAAATGCAAAACCAGTCAACGTCAATTCTTGAAATCTTCCATGTCTTTTCTTTTTTATCCGAAAAAAACTCTGTGAAAATTTCAAGAAATGATATTTATTTGTTCTCCTTCAAAAAAAAAATGGTAGCAGAGATTTTTAGAGACCGCAAACGAGATACGTGGTCTGGTAGTTTCATCGTCAATATTTCATTTTTTGTTTCCAATTTTTTTTTTTTTTTTTTTTTTTTTTTTTTAATATTAAAGCTTAGTTATCAATTCTGTAAATGTTGGTAATTTTTCTTCTTGCATACGCCAAATAGTTAAATGTTAGTCCAAAAATGATGCCTGTCGCTTTACCTGCAAGAATGCCGAACCACAAATGTTACCTACACAAATTGTTTACATCATACGGATGGATACACTTTGGTAGAAAGTGTAGAGAGCCATTTCTGTCATCCATAAATTACATTGAGACCCAAAAAGGGAGAGGAGCTGAGCTTGCATACCAAATTGAAGGGAGGGAATCTAACACTGCACGACATCATAGGTACTTGATGAGGTTTTTTCCCTCTGTTTTTTACTTTGCAGTGAAATAAATTCATTCATAGGGGTTAATGGTGCAGAATTTGATATTTGTAGAGTTTTTTTTTTTTTTTACTGCCTTTCCCATTAGAATACAGTAATTAAGGAAATAACTTAAGTGTGCTCGAAGCCCCTCTGATGATAAAAGTGAATATGGGTCTCAGGGCTCATGTCTTTATACACATAGTTTGGTTTAATAGGAATACGTCCAATCGCAGTGTTCAAAATTTTCATTATGCATAAAGTTTTCATCTGAAGAAGAAAACTAGGTAGGTATCCATAACTTGAAGTTTTTTTTGAAATTCTCGAATTTTTCTTTTTAGAATATTTACTTAAATAAGAAACTATTCAGTCAAATACCTATGATTAAGGACTTAATCTTTTAAATAATGTCACTTCATTTAAACATAATTTTCCTATCATCAATAAATATTTACGGAAAATTTTAAAAAGATATTGAAAGAAAGAAAAAGTATTTATAGCCAGTTCTTTCTAAAAAAAAATGAACAAAAATAAAGCGTATCTAATTGGAGATTTGCAAAGAAGCGATGGAGATACTTATTTTAAGAATTGACAAAATAGGTTTTTTTTTGTAAAGGGCCTCGGAAAATCACATGAAGTTTGAGGAAGAGCTGACAGTTGCCCCCCCCCCTCCCCCAACATCGATTTGAGAATAACATTCCGCCTTTGCCTATCTTATCAATTGCAGGCGATTCATAGGTCTCTGGTCGTTCCAGAGCGTTCTACATAATAATGCACCCCTCCCCCCTCTTTCCCTCGCATTTGTACTTGGATACGTCATAAAATGGCTACCTTCGTGCTTCTGTTCGACATAGGTTTCTCGCTTATCATACCGGATGACTGTGAAGACTTCGAAAGTTGCCACCGGTGGAAAAGAGAATAAGAAGAACAACAAAAAAATCCAGAAGTGTTGATGACCGTGCGATTTCAGTGATTTCATTCTAATCTTGCGTTTCATTTGTGCTAAATAATTCGATTAAAATGGCGGGTGCAATGTTATTTGAACGTGCTGTGTCCAATACAAACTCCAAAAATTACATCAATGACGAAGATGAAGGCTTCAATGAAGAGGAAGACATCAGAGCCAAGGAGCAAGGCATCATCCAACTTGGTGAGCAGTACAAGAAAGAAGGTAAAGCCAAAGAACTTGCTGATCTTATCAAGGCATCCAGACCTTTCCTTTGTCAAATTAGCAAAGCCAAAGCTGCAAAATTAATTAGATCTCTGGTTGACCTGTTTCTAGACCTTGAAGCAGGCATTGGGATTGAGGTCCAACTCTGTATAGAGTGTATTGAATGGGCCAAAGAGGAGAAGCGAACTTTCCTGCGTCAGTCCCTGGAAGCAAGGCTAGTTGCTTTGTACTTTGATACTGGTATGCACAAAGAAGCCCTTGCTCTGGGCTCAACGCTTTTGAAAGAACTCAAGAAACTTGATGACAAAAATTTGTTAGTGGAGGTACTGTTGCTGGAAAGTAAAACATATCATGCCCTCAGTAATCTGTCAAAATCCCGGGCATCACTCACATCTGCTCGAACTGCCGCCAATTCAATTTACTGCCCTCCTAAAATGCAAGCAGCTTTAGATCTCCAATCCGGCATATTGCATGCTGCTGATGAACAAGACTTTAAAACGGCATATTCTTACTTCTGTGAAGCATTTGAAGGCTATGACAGCATTGAAAGTCCGAAAGCTTTGACAGCCTTGAAGTACATGCTATTGTCTAAAATTATGTTGAACACTCCAGAAGATGTGCAACAAATAATTAGTGGTAAACTAGCTTTAAAGTATGCTGGAAACGATATTGAAGCTATGAAAACCGTTGCCCAGGCGAGTCACAAGCGATCTCTAGCAGATTTTCAGAAAGCTCTTCAAGACTTCAAAAAAGAACTGGAAGATGACCCCATTGTCCGTGCTCACCTTGGAACTCTGTATGACAACATGCTCGAACAAAATCTGTGTCGTATTATAGAACCATATTCAAGGGTTCAAGTTGAATATATTGCTAACTGCATCAAGCTTCCAAAAATTCAGGTTGAGAAGAAACTATCGCAAATGATTCTAGACAAAAAGTTTCATGGAATCCTGGATCAAGGAGAGGAAGTTCTCATTGTTTTTGAAGAAACACAGGTAGATAAGACATATGAAACCGCCCTTGAAATCATTAGCAGTATGGGCAAGGTTGTAGATACCCTGTATCAAAAAGCCAAAAAACTATCGTAACCTGTTAATATTTCTATGTAAATTCTAGTGTATTGAATTGCGAATTCATTGAGTTGTGCAGACATTTTTTTATATTTCCTTTGATTCTTCTTTCTTTAAGCTTCTGACCGACTAAACCACTAACCATCATTTACTCCTTCTTCCGTTTGTTACCGTGCTGAGGAAATACAAGGAAAGGACGTTTACTACAATTCAAAGTATGTCGCAGCAGTCCTACTGGATTGAGATTTATTTTATTATCAATATTTTTCATCTCTTTACAATTTAAATGACAATTATTTCTTGTCTTCTTTGTCAGCAAGTTGAGACGTTTCGAACAATTTAGTCGGATAGCGAGAATGAATCGTCTAGGAGTCATTTGGAAATCAATCAGCAATGTTAATTTAGAGGATTTTCCCCACCTCCTCCCTATGCCCTTGCTTTGTAATGCTATGTAGCTTCTCCAATAGCTGTCAAAGATTTTCATAGCCTCAATTTTGCGCGACCTCATTTTCGCGAATTAATAACTAAAGATCAACTGCTAAGTAACTCAATCAAATGTGCCTCTTTTTTTTATTATTTTTTAGTACATACCTTCTGCAAGCGATGATTTACTTACTTTGTACTTACAATATGCTTTTCAAATTTTCAGTCATCTTTGAACACGATGTCCCTGTTTAATTTTACATTTGGCAGAGACGGTTTTGCCTGTTAGTGTTAGTCTATACTGGTCAGAGATACACTTGATACCTTTGTCAAAATTTACGTCATTCCACACCCTATTCGAAAGATAGTCCCAGCTTGCTTGAAACTTCCAATGCACTGGAGCTTTTCCACATGTGAGACCAGGAAATTGTCTAAAATCGCATGAAAAGAGGTACACATTTTTATCAGAGCGGTCCAGCATTTTCAATGTAACCTACCATTTTATAGAATTATATTGAGTTATACCTACTGCCGTGATAGCGAAGAGAGCAGTAAGTGCATGGATGAACCTTGAGACGCATAAAAACATGTGCTAATCATGGCTCATACATAAATGCACTTGCTTCTCTCTGTTCGCTATCACGGCAGCCTAGATTTTGACACAACAGATCTGTTAATTGCTGATAATCACTCATTTTTTCAGTCCAAATTTTTAGTTTCTATCACCTGCAGATTTGTTGGACCCTTCAAATTAAACTCCCTGAATTATGGATGAGCTAATTTTTTACGCCATTGAATAGTAGATTAATTGATTTAATAGTCCTAGTTTCATTATTAAAAAGAAATAAAAAAGAGGTATACTTAGAAAGTAAAATAATTTTATAATTTCTAGAAATCAAGGGTACAAGGAGGAAGAAAGAGAAAAAAAGCCAGAATACTTTTTCAATCCAAGTTGCCAGTGAGAGTTTTAGAATATTCTAACAGCAAATCATTGACCTCCGGCACATAAATTCATTGCATACATAAGTTTTAATTTAATCTCTGTAATGGAACCCTTTACTAAATGACCTTTACGTTAGTAATACGTTCTTCATTCTTTGATTAGCTGTAAGTCTAATTCAATGTCTCCTAAAACACCACTGTAAATCTGCTATCTTGTTCTCAAAGGAGCCTCAGTATTTTGTTAATTTTGTTGAAGAACTATTAAAATTTCATGAAATGGGTTTTTGATGCATTGATTTTATCTCCATAATCTGTAATATTTGGCTCATGTAAAATGTCTCTCGTTTTATATTCAAGCGAGGTAATCGATGTGTTTTATGAATCTTGTCCAAGTGTGGAACTTCTGAAATAAATGCAACATTTTGTACATTTTTCGTAAATTCTTTGTCTGAGAGTCTTATTTTTTATTATGACCTCATCACTAATGTTAATTGAAATATTTCAGATTAGAATTTTTAACTAACTGACTCCGTTTTGATTTATTTGAATGATTTCTTTTCCTCTCATTGATATCTGCTTTTGGTCAGCAACTAGTCCTGAACTTATGTATTCCATTTCTATGGCAGGAACTGCACGAACTTATTATGATGGTGTAAAACACCATGAAGGGAGAAAAGCTCAGCTTCCTTAGTTTGTCTTGAATTATACCTTAAAATCATTTTCCCAGAAAAATTGCCCCTTTTCTTAAATAATTGCACAGCCTTTTTGCGCTTCGTGTTGCAAGTTATAGGTACATATCAAGGATGAAATTCCCAAACCATGTATTTTATTATTTGTGATGTTCTATAATCTCTGCTTCCATCTTACTGTTATGAAGGAAAACAAATCTCCATCGTTTCGTGAAGTTTCTCCACGCTTTGCTTCTCACTAAGAAGAATAACCAAGGAATAAGTTAAGAATTTACGTCGAGCAGTTCTCCATTTAAAAAATTAAGTATGACAGGAAGTCGCAAATTGAGGTGCATTGTTTGGGAGTTTCCCCCTTGACATGGAAGTCGATAGGACTCAATTAAATTTTAAAAATGAATACTGAGGTGAAAAATGAGCTTAAGCATTCGGCTCTCTCAGAAAGTTACCGCAAGAAGAATTATTTTCTAAAATGGCTGATATGTCTCAATTCATATCGATGGCTAAATATGGACAAGGCGTATTCCAATTGGAATGTTTAAAACTTTCAATTACATTTTATTTTCCTCAAGGATGACAACTAATCAAGATGCTTCCTTGCAATATTTTTTATTTTTTTTTAGAATAAAGAAAAGTAACTTTGCCAAAAAATTTGATAGAAACCGTTTAAGTAAATTAATAATACTGAGCGGTAACTTGCAATGTTTGATCTGAATTACGCACTTTACTTTAGCCATAGATATTCATTACTTTAAAAAATGTCACCCAACTTCATTGACCATGAAACTATCTAATTTCAACTCATACTGTCCAAAAAAATTAAAAAAATGGGTAACTACGTGTGGCCATCTACAGAGAATTAGGGCCTTAGTCCGCTAAACCTCAAATTTAAGTTCATGACAGAGCAGAAAGGCGTAGTCAAGATTTGAGATGAAAAATTTCAAACGAAATTAGAGCTATGGCATTTAAAGGTTACTTGCTATTCAAAAAAAAACATAGTTGTGAGAGGAAGCTATTTAAAACTATAGAGTCTGCCATAATCAAGATACACATTGCCAGACTATAATGAAACTTAATGCCTTCACTTGAAGTTGATTAAACTGCTCCCAACTTATTCTTGAGGATACGAAAGTGGAATTTTCATTAGAATCTCAAAATCTAATTTTTTGACCAGCCTCAACAAAGATTGTTGTAATAAAAATTCAGTGCTCAGTGGACCACGGTCCTTTTCCCCACGTATCGATATGAACGTCTGAAAAATCTTTAAAGCGTAAATTTACTTCAAGCAAAGCTTCGACTCTCATTGACACTGCAGCGATTTTAAAGAAGAACGAGAAAATTTTGTAATCAAAAGTGTGTAATTTAAAAACAAATTTTAATAGAAAAATATTTTAAAAAATGTACAACCCTAGTTTTACAAACTAAAGCCCTCTAATAATTAAAGTAAAGATATTATTAACAGTTAAATAAAATGCTAATACTTATGTAACAAAAATAGAACAATATTTTTTTCTATAATAACAAGGGATGATGTTTGATCACATGAAAAGGGTACCAAGAAAAAATTCTTGCACCTATGAGGCAATCATCTAGTTTGATTTTTCTTTCAAAAATTCTGTTAATTTATGCTTCCTTTACATAAACTTAACACTTTAATCAACGAATACGCACACAGAATTACTTCTATTAAATTATAGAGACAATTTGAAGGCTGCTAATCTAAATCAGGTCATAGGCAGTTCTTGGAACAAATTAAATTCCAAGAAGGCGCACTATCATAGTGTCAGTGTCGTAAGTACTAAAAAACGAAGAACAGCAGTTACGTAACCATCACATAAGGTACATTCAAAGCACCATGTTTAAATACATTTTCATGCTGATATTTAAATTTAGGTTTTTAAAAAAAATTGCACAAATTTATACTTCAGTAAAATAATGACGATTTACCAAACAGTGACAGTACTGATGTAAAGCAATGTTTAGTTGGGTTAGTTATATTTATAAGGATAGCTCCGAGAAATTATACAGTCTACAATCTGTTGACAAAAATATTTAAAAAGAAAGACATCAAAGCCTGAATACTTTTTATATATTAAGTGTTGAGCTTAATTTCAAGTTAAAATTCTAGAGCGAAACCAAAAATCAATATCTCGAAATAATACATTTATGATCACCATTCTTGCAGGTCCACTTAGCTTAATGATACTCTTTACGTCCACTTAGATAATCAGGGGCAGCCTTTTCCCTGCTTCTGAAAGGTGAGGGTGCTGCGAGATTCAACACTCAAAGTACATATGGCTTTAGTCTTATTTCGGAGATGGACAAAAGATTTGATAATTCTCTTTCCCTGACTTTTCTCCAATTCTTAAAAAGGGTGCACATATTAATTAGAAAAAAGTCAATTCTACTAATTTAGAGCATCCATCATACAGAGTCGCTTAAAACAAGTCATAAATTAAAGGCTAAGAATCATAATAACAACTCAGTGCCTAATTTTTCATCATAATTCCACCAATAAATTAACAATAATGTACAAAAATTAACAACTTAAAGTAAAATTATGACGCTCTCCTGTCAAAAAGAGCAGTTAGAGAAACAGTTATGTTTCAAGCCACAGTCAATGTAATGGAGAGCAGACTTTTCACTTCACCAGGATCCATGCGCTTGAAAACGAGAGATCCTGCTGTGTGAATTGAATGAGGAAAATTAGGCCTGCTGGCCGAATATGACTTCTAAAATTTTCAGGCGGAGTTTGAACAGAGGAAACTGCTACAAGTGTATCGACTGAGAAATGACTGAGAACATGAGAGCCTTATTCTTGTGGTTTATGGTTGAAGAAAAGAAATTGAGAGGTAACAGCACATTTACTCTCCTAACTTACGGGCAAAAATCTATATACTTACAAATCCCCTTTTCTAAAAAAAATTTGTATTTTTCGATAAAAATCAGTTTTTAAAATATGTTTCACGTTTTCTCCATTATTTTCTGAAAAATTAGGGAGAGGGGAAGAGTCGGGCCAATCTTAAATGATTAAAAAAGGATTTGGGGAGTTTTCTGACGGGTGCCTCAAAACGGAGAGAGGGGGTAAAAAAGACCACCAAAATGCCTTGCATAATACTTGAATGGCCTCTCGTTAAGATTATCACCAGAATAATCAAAATTAGTTCCAGCAGGAAGATAACATTCTTACAGGTAGGATTTAACAATGAAAACACGAAATACTCAAACTGGTCTTTAGGCTGATATCTTTCCACTTGGAACACAAAGCAAACGTCTAAAGAAAAAGAATCGGTCTTTTAGATTACTAATGTGTAGCTATCCTCCAAGGATAGGAACGATTCATATTGGAGCAAAAAATCAAAATTTATTCTATCTGAAAATCTTTAGATATGTCTGCAGATGTTTTTAGGCTCATGACCAGCTGGGAGTCATGTATCAATAGGTCCTTTAAAAAATGGGTTCATTAAATAACTTCATACGGAGTAATGATTTAAAAATGATGAAAGAATAAAATATCTTGTCTGCTGTCCTATTTTGCTTTAAATAATAAATTCATGAATACATTCATGAGAGATAAGTAGATACTTATAAAACACACATTTTTGAGTATTTCAATTAAAACTTGGGGAAGGGAGTAATATTCTAGAGTAAAACAATGTAATACTGACGTGAAAAAAATTTAGAAGAGAAACAACATTGGGGCAGAAAGGAAAAACTCATCGACATGGCATGTGATACACTTGGGGGGGAAAAGGGACTCAAGGTGAGATGCCAAATTTTCCAGGATGGTAAAATACAGTTTCGGTCTAAATTATAAATTTTCAGTTTTGATACTAATTGATTTCTACATATTTCTAGAGAACGTATGCAAGATTTTATGTTGAAACTTGCATTTTTAACAAAATAATAAGCGTTTATAGTGGAGGCAATGGGCAACCGCACAAGGACTCCATCTCTACTTGGCTAAGCGGCTGTTATCAAATGCTTGCACAAAAGCATTTTAATTAGAGTTCATTTTTCAATATTGAATTTATGACAAAGACAGGTTTATTCATTTTTAATGACAAAGAGGCCAAATTCTCTGAGATAAATTATTTCATAACTTTCATCAAGTTTTTCTCGAAATCACATTCATATGTTTATAAACTTCGAAATGCTCTGGAAAAGTCAATTTGTGGATTTTTCTTCTTTTTTCTGTTGCAAATGATTCAGAATTAACACCTAGATGCGAAAATGTAGTTACCAATCTCAATTTTTATGTTTTTCATCCAAGTCTCCTATTTCTTCGGTGCATCACATGGCATGTAGTCAAGTCTGATATGGAGCATGGGTGAAAGGAAAAAGTCATGAGATAAAAGACATAGCTGACCACTGAACTAGTTTCAATTCGATAGAGAAGCTATAGAAAGAGCAAAAAAACAATTAATATTTATATTTATGATTCACGGTTTTGATCGAAAAAACTTTCATAAACCAAGTACAGTAATGAGAATTCGTTTGAGGTAGAGAATGGTCATGACCTCTCGGTCATATTGTTCGAAAATTATCTAGCCTTTGGTGGTGAAAGGAAAATATGCAAAGAAATAACTGAGCATGAAAATATCATGGAAAACTCTGACTGATAAACTAATGTTTTCAGATCTGTATCTCGATATAGGACCTTGCAAATTAAAATCATAATTCTAGCAGGATGAACGTGGATTGTTCAGAACACACTGGTGGCAGCAGCAAGGAAGAGTACTTGTTTTATACTTCAATTTGAACTCAAATTTAAAATAAACGATCATTCCCTTTTAGAGAAAAAAATTGAGGTACCGATAAAGCAGTTCCAAGTTATACTGATGCTGTATGTTGTTTAAAAATAAGTAAGTAAACTGCATTACCTACTTTTTGACGAAAAAAAATATCAAAGCCTAGACAAATTCCCTCCAGTTTGTGGTTAGGTACAATATTCTGGAATTAAGCTTACAGACAAATTGATAGATCATTACTAGTAATACTGATCAAGGCTCGGAAACCTACATACGAAAAACTTTGTGGGTGAGGGGTCTCTAGGGCTGTTGTAATCAATGGTAAAACTAGAAAAAATACTTACATCAATATTTCCACTCTTGTCCACTGTACATTTCAATAGACACCATGACAGTTTTAAATTAAGTTTTTAGGCAACTGAAGAAGAGTCATGTGAAATGTCAGAAATTAAACTTGATAGCTTTCCTGATTAATATTAAATGGGTCAAAGCGTTTACAATACTGCAAATGTAGAAGCAAGTTTTTCTCATTTCACTGTCAAAATGCTTCTCGAATTAGTTGTGGGAAAGAACTGCTGAGGATTCAATGGATGGCAATAATGGAGGGAGGAAAAAATTCATCGCGGATGAATTGAAAAGTATTACCCGCTCAAAGAGAAACTACTGTAATGTTGAAATGAACAAGTTTGCATTTCATGCGTTGAAAGATTTTTTATACAGTAAAAAGTTAAATTTTCTTCACCAGCATGAACATGATTCTGCAAAAAGGAACTAGGAACCGCTGTATGACCTGAAGCTTCTGCATTCAGGCCATACATTATAGTGTTTTGCTTCAATATACCTAGTCACATTTAATATCTTACACGAAGACAATCTCAGCTCCTTGCAGAGAACCCTCATATATTATTTTGACCAAAAAGTTCGAACACCAATATAACAGATACAATTGATTACATTCATTTTAGTTAAATTTTAGTTCAAAAGCATAAAACTCATCCACCCATGGAATATTATCTCATATCAAAAGCTTAGAGCAAAAGGATCATGACTAACATTTTTGGAAAAATAGGATTATTCATATGCTTAGGAGGAACTCCGTATATATGAAAAAATTCTGCGGTGATATCTACTGCTTAATATCTCCAAACAGCAAAAATGAAATTACAGTATCTCTGCTCTAGGTTACTAATATGCTGGAAAAACGAAGGGAAAAAATACCTCTTGGTCCTTAACCTATTCCTGAGAAATACTGGTGCACTTCTCAAGTGAACTCAAAAATAAATGCAAATAGGAAACCTATCTTTCATAAAATATTGAACAACAAATAAAGTAAGACTAATGGTTAAAAAATTGGCTCGGTTTAACAAAATAAAAATTATTCAGAACCCTGAAACACTTCAAATAATCTTGATCCCTCAAAACAACTACCCACTATAGATGACTACAACTTCCTTAAGAGCACAAAAAGTTGTGATAGTAAAAAATAAAAAATTGGCTGTTTAATAAAAATAATGTTAACTTAAAACCATGGAAAGGTTCAAATCATCCTCAGCCTAAGAATAAAATACCAATAAAAAGGAATCCTAAAATTCTACAATGCAGTGATCTAGCAAATTTCCCATGAAAAAATCATGGAAATGCTACACAAGTTGAATAAAACATTTAAAAATATCTCCTAATCGAGAACTTAAAAGAGAGCTTCTAAAAAATTTAAGATCACAATTCCTGTGGCCGTTACGTCAACTTTTTCTCAATTACAGATTACCATTAATCTTGAAAATAGGAAAAAGGAGTTAGAAACAGAACATACACGAGACACCAAGAAAAAAGGAGAATTACTTAAGTACTTAACTTAAAAGTGCATGGAAGATCATTGTGCAAGTTTCTGTTGTTTCACCAACACTTATCATTTTACAAGAATTGAAATGAGAAAGTTAAAAAATGAGTAAACATTGATGAATATTAGTTGTTAATTGAAGGAGAAACATAAATAAATTGGACATTTGATTTGATTAATAATTGAAGAAAAGAGAATCTCCATGTCAACAATAGACTCTGTTGGGGTCTCAATGATTGAAACCTGAATGAGTTCTGAATATATCGTCAAAAAGTTATCATAAAAAATGTTTGTGGTTAAGGAGCGTAGCAGGGTGATCCAAAAGTCCCGCACCACTAGGATCAGGCGTCTTACCTGTGATTTTTGTTCAAATTGGATGTATTTCTGCCAAACAGAACTATGTGCATTATGACGTGAGCCCTGTTATGCACATATTTTTATGGGTCTCGGGGCTCATGGCTTAATGCACATAGTTCCGTTTGATATAAATACGTCCAATTAAGATGTAGACTTGAAATTTTGTGAGTGCTCGTAACTCAAAGGAAACAGCCTTTGGGAACCTCCAAAATGTTAAAGGAACCACTCTGATAAGGGGCAAGAACTCTAGGGGTTATAGGGGTGGTGCAGGACTTTTGGATAACCCTGTACAATGGGGCTGTTTGCATAATGTTTCTTGGACTCATTTTCAGAAAACAGGTACCAAATGAGAATCTTTACAGTTCTCTGCCTTTTACTCATAAAATTTTAGCTGAGAAAAATAATGTCAAAATCACTAAAAATCCAACTCGGTTTCAAATGTATAAATATTGGGCCAACAGATTCTTGGATAATGTAGCAACCCCATTGTTTTAAAAATCATACCGCCATTAATGAGTTAAGGACAAGCACAGAGGGCTTCTTTTTCAAAGTAATGATAAAAAGCTAAGTGCCTCAACTATAAATTGAGGAGAAAATTTCTCATTGTGTGGGAGACATGCTTTTGATATCATAATGATCTTAATACCCTGATTTGCCTTTATGCAAACAGGTTCATAGAGTATTCTCCAGCAAAGTTTGCTTTAAAAATGTTGGTTTCTCATGAATGAGAAAAAAAAGGGGGCTGGCAATTTCTCCCTTTAGAGAAAGACAAAAAACATTTTTGCCATGCATGAGGATGAAATCACGAAGAAAAGTTGTTCCTCAAACTCTTGGCCGAGAATTTTTAATATCAAATAATTTTCTTACAAAATATACCTGAACCACAGTTGTTCCAATGATGATGACTATTTGAAACAATGACCAACGTTGCACATATCTCAAATTATCTTCCACCATGATTTTGTCTCTAGTTTCATGACTTTTGGTTCGGTGTTGGAAATGGATCATGTCATTGATATTTCGCTCTACATTCATCACCCGACTCTGCAAAAATACAAAAAAAGACACTGTAAAAAAGACTGAAAGAGAATGCGGTATAAACTGAAATTGTCGACCGCATGAAATTGCGGAGCAGAATATGATGAGGATGCAAATGAATTAGATAAGTAAAAATAGAATACTTGATTGCAAAAACACCATCTCTTGGTCTGAACGATTTATGAGTGCAACCATTTCCCATCTTAATACAAGAATCGAGTCTTGGAGGCTCATCTGAGATAGAATGGATGCTCTAATTATTGTACCTATATGTGAAATTCCAATCAAGGGGAGAAAAATCACCGTCTCGCTACAACTACAGAGCTGATTCCTGGGATTTTCATTTGGTCATTGTTTTCTTCACAGAAATTCAATGAGAGAACTTCTACTTAAAAATACATCTCATCCATTAGTCCGACTCCATTTTGGAGAGAATAATTTTTGCTGATTTTCCCCTTAAAAAAAATCTTTGGGTGTGGAAAGGGAGAGGAGCACATATGTATTACTTCATTTTAGCTTTTGTAGGAGATCAGTAAATAGCAAGGGCCTTGAAACTTCTCAACTACAAAACTAGCGGGTCAAATTGGTTGCATGTAGAGATGGAAAGGCTCCAAAAACAAGTTTTAAAAATAAGAGGGCCAATTCAAATTAGAGAAATTTTTTTAACAATTCATTAACTAAATTTAAAAAAAAAAAAAAACAACCACCGCTTGAAAGGATGGCAAAAGGGGGTTTTTAGACTGGAGAGGACAGTTGGAAAAATGGGAAAGCTGAGAATTCTTTGCATCTCTGCAAAACTGTGAACTCAAATTGTTTTCAGGATTCATCAAATTGTTTAGAGCCTCTATTTGATGCAGGATCACTCATTGAAGGAAATCTGAACTTCTTGATACTTTCGTATCTTTCACAGCATTTACCTTTGAAATAGTTTCATACAGTAAGATATAAAATGAGTCTCTCACGAGCTTACGATAGATATTAGACAAACTTTTAAAACAAAGTTTGTCCTGTCTTTGAATTTAAAGTCTTTTTTTTTCATTACAAATTTTTATTGTAAAAGAGTTCATTTTCCTTTAGGAAAACAGTGCTTCCTTTAGGAAAACAGTGTTCTAGACACTTAATTTGTAAGTACATCCACTGAGTGCACAACTCAAAGGAAATGAGTAAGTTGAAAAGGAAATGAAAAACAAGTAACTTTTAAGGTTTTTCTTCTTCTTTTTTTTAAGTTTGTTTCGTGCTTTACTAGGTACATATTTGTAAATGGATTACTCTGGTAGAAAATAGTAAATTAAAATAAGGATGATTATCTCTTTGTATAGCGACTGTCACTGGATCTTATTTAATTTTACAAAGATGCTTTCAATTCATTTAATGATCAATAGTAAAAATTACACCGTTTTCTAATTTTTTGTTTACTCTGGCTCTGTCTTTGCTGTAGAATAGTGCGGACCCAGCACTATTCTGCCATCCTGTTCCTTCAAAACTTTGGCACCATTTGATGTCATGGTTTGTCTGGGACTGCTTTATATGAGAGGCCAGCATAATTAAACAGCTATGTGACCAGGAAGGCTTTGGGCAACCAATTGGAGCCATGGAACATGTTTTTTTTATCAATATATAGACAATGCAGAGCTGAAGGAGTGAAGGAAGCACTTCCCACTGGTCGTGATGACGCTTTAAAAATAAATTAAATTTTTGTTTCTTACATGATTTCAAATTTCTTACAAGGAGAAAAAAATTAAAATATGAGACTTACAGTGAAATTATCAACACCTAGGTTCATGTCTTCGACTTCTTTGTTATAATTCTCCCACTGATCATACCTGCAAACACATAGGGGAAACAGATTGAATAAACGGCCTTGTCCTATTTTAGTACTCCACCATTTGTATTTCTGTAGCTACAGAAGTACCGAACCACTGAACCAGCTGGTTCAGTTCCTTTCGGACTTGGTTTCGGATCCACCAGCCACCAACTTGGAAGGAAGGCTCCCAATGTAGGTTCCTGGCAAGTTTCACGATTCAGACATTGGAGTCTCTCTCTCCCCTTGCACACTTGCATTCCTATTTTCTCGAATCAAGATGTAAGGTCTCATTTCATTATCACCCTTTACCCAATTGTGATGTTTGCTTTTTTTTGGTTTGTTAGTTTAGTTTTTTCCCCCTTCTTTGATTTTATTTTGAGGTTTTGAGAGATGGTTTTGAACATGGAAAATTCCTCAATGCCTTATGCAGAAACTGACATTTTGAACAATTAGAACTTCATTAATTAACTTTAAAAGAGAATGTATTCTACCCAGCATGCACTGTTTCAAATTTGAGTATCCACTTTGAATATATGTATTGAATTTCAGTCTCTCAGGGCAGTATGATGATTTCACAAAAATTCATGAAAAATGCATACCTGATGACAGTAAGGTAAAGATTGACTAATTTTGAAGCAAATCGTGAGAATTGATTGTCTATACAGACACTGTAGTAGCCACCGGTCGCAGAAGTATCTTGATAATCAGAGCTTGCTTTCCATTGATACGGGTGAACTATTACACCTGCTGGGTTACGAACTGCAAAACCGGCCATTCCATCTCCCCCTCTTAAAACCTAAAAATGAGACATGGTAACGTTTTGAGTGAGTGAAGAGTTTACATACTTGTAAATATGATCATTATGCTAAAAGCTCTAAATATAGGAGCTTTAATATATTAAGTTGTGCATCTCAGCAGTTCTGCTACCTACAATGATTTTCCAGGGAACAGAGACTTTTAGACCAGTTGTGATCCTGCCTGGTTGGTCGCTAAAAAAAGCGGGATTGTGAAAACGAATTCCCGAAGATTGGAGGATTGCGAAAAGAGATCTTTCAAAATAATGGGAAGAGCAGCTTACTTGACGGTGTAAGTCCATGATCACATAACTCGGTTTTCGACGTTGCAGACTTCCTGTCTTACTTTATTTTTTAAGCAGAAAACGGCTCAACGCGCAATTCTTAAAAACTGCCGTGATTTTCTTCTCTGTGCGAAACAAATTCTGCATCAACTTCAAGGAATGATGTCAATTCGTTCTCCTTTAAAAAATAACATAGAGTCGGAGATTTTCAGACACCGCAAACGAGTTATGTGATTGCCAATCTACACCGTGGTTGCTTCAATATTTCAGTATTCACTACACTCCTACGGATGCCCAGCAAATTGCTTGGTGCAATGCTTGGTTCACAATACTACTGCTGTGATAGTGAAGAGAGCAGTAAATGCATATCCGTATGAGCCATGAACAGCACATGCTTTTATGTGTCTCGAAGTTCATCCCAGCATGCGCTTACTGCTCTCTTCGCTATGACCGCAGACTAGGGCTTCTAATGGTCAAAATGCCTTGGAAGTTCACAGGCTCATTTTAAACAGACATATTGATCAACATGAAAACATTTCTAGCGTTCTCTGAAAGTTAGGAAACTCAGTCAACTATACTGTCTGAGAAAATCATGTGGTTATAAAATCTACCAACAGTCGGGGCAAATTGTCTATTGCACTTATAAGACTTGTTTACCAGACATAAACAGTGCATGACAGCAGAAAAACTAAAATAATCTAAACTAAATAGTCTGACTTACCTGGAAGCTGACATAAAAAGTGGCTCCCGGATTAACATATTGGAAGTAGCAATCCTCTTTTCCAGGATCGACATGTACTTTGTAGTCCATCGCAACTGCAGGAAGATTTTCATACCATGGAACTGTTGTTTCACAATACACCAGCACGAAATACAAGAACAGCAAGACGAACGTGGCAATTAAAGTCATGCTGGACAGAAAACCGACACTGCCAATGATCTGTGCTCTTCAGAGGGAATTTCAGCGGTTGGGATTCTATTTGGCATGCAACCTGGCGGTAAAATTTTTCAGATATTTGCTTGCGTACTTAGGAAAAGGCGTAATTGAATTAGAATATTAATAAGATGATAAAAAAAACTTATGGAAATGATACAAGATTATTCAACCAGACAAATTGTTCCAGTTCAATTCACGAAACTCTGTTTGTTTACATTCAGGAATGCTCTCATGGCACTCACCATCAGCTGGCAGCCAATCACATTCCTCTAAATTAGAAATTCGACAGATGTTGCCTAACTGACGTGGCAGATATGTACAGTATGTACTCTGCATGCTGTCTAGACGTCTAGACAATGTATGAGACCGAGTGACGTCATTTCAAGGAGCAGTAACTGCCCCCCCCCCCTCCCACCATCATTTGACATGCAAGGATTTTTTGACAAATTACTCCGCCCCCCCTTCTCAAGTACCTTCCAACCAAATTTTCCTCCCCTCTTGCTATTTTTGCTGAATTAGCACCACTAATGGAGAAAGTTTTGGGGAACTGTTGCCAAGGAGAATAGCGGTAAATTTCCGAATTTTCGGGCTATCTACGTTAGGAGAGGCTGTCCATAAATAAATTATAGACAACCCACCACCAACGTGGAAAATGTGGTGTATCTGCCCCAGGGCCGGATTAAGGGGGTGGCCACATGGGCCGCGACCCATGGCGGCAAATCTAAGGGGCGGCAAAAATTTGCGATTTTTTTAAAGTATAGGTATAAAAAAAAGTCGGATTTATAAAAACAAAATTACAAAAAACGAGAAAAGGCGACAAAATCTCTCATTTCCTGAGAGTATAGTAATTTCTAATTTTGTCGTCTTTTAGTGATACAAGAGACAGGACATTCAATAAGTCGAGTTAAAAGAGAGACCAAACACGCAATTTGGCCTGGAACGGCGCGACTTGCGTAGAGAGAAATGATGAGGACTTGAGATGAAAAGGAGAAGCCCTCGGCGCGGCGATCGGCATGTAACACATATTAGCGCCTACAAGACTGCACGAATACTTCACGCATTGCGCCAAACACAGTGCGGTCAGCTTGAAACGCATAGCGCCTACAAGACTGCGTGAATACTACACGCATTGCGTCCAACACGGTGCGGTCTGCGCGGCGCGGCGGCGGCGGAAGTTAAAATCATTGAGCCACATTTATGTTTGTTCTTTCATAATTTTTTCGTTCATTTCTTATGAATGGAAGGCCCTATCCACACAGAGATAGGTTTACGGAACTTAACTCTCGCGCAAAGTTTCGTGAACTTTTGCTGGTACCTAGTGTTGACAGGGCTTTCCCAAAAAATGTGTTCAACACGAGTAAATGAATCTTATGCACCCCTCCCCCTCCGGCACGTTCACTTGATGGTTTTTATTGATGTTTCAAAACAAATGAGAAGGGGGCGGCAAGTAGGTGAATCCGGCCCTGATCTACCCATCGTACGTATCATAGCATATAGGCGGACTGGTGTTTTCTCGGATACTTATATTTAAACCGTGGCCAATCAGGGAGAGCGTTTTTCGGGGTCTCACACCTTCATAAATTGGCCATGGGACGAAATAGCAACAGATGAAAAAATGAAGCATATTTTCCTACCAGTTTCCCTACTAGCATTTTCATACAGATAGCGGTAAGGCGCTTATTACAACAAAAAAAATGAAGATATTTTAAATTTATTTTTGTGCCACAAGTTGGCAACCGAGACTTACATTTAGAGAGGCAAATATACTGAGAATGTAGGTTTTGATTTAGAAAAGTTCTCATGCTTTCCCCAGATTTGTCTAACGTCTAATTATCTTCCGAATTTCCAATATAACCGTCTAGCAGTGCCGGGTGAAGGATGGTGCATCAAGACTCAGGAGCGACTGCACTTGGCGCCATCACAACAGGTGTGCTAGAATGAGAATGAGAGAATAAAAAAATGATAGGAACAAGTGGAATTGGAAATACTAAGACGAAACGAAGGATACGGATGTAGAGAGCCAAAAAAAAAAAAAAAAAAAAAAAAAAAAAAAAAAAAAAAAAAAAAAAAAAAAAAAAAAAAAATGGAAGAAAGAGCGAGTTAAAAGTTCTAAAAGACCTCAAAGCTGCAAAAACGTGCATTTATTTTTCTTCAGAATGCTTCCGCTGTGCGACGAGGCTTGCTAAAATGCACGTGCCTCGCGGGTTGAATGAGGCCGGTACGAAAAAAGCTTTGAATATAGGTCCACAAATACATCGGGAAAAAAAATCAGACATCAAATTGAAAAACAAAGGAACAATTGCGTGTAAACACAGCCGCAGATATGAAAGACATGTTCGAGCCTCGTTTTTTGACTTCTCTCTCGAATCTGAACGACACCTCACTGACCGAGAATCGCAAGTTGCCGCCTCGTGTCATCGCGCCTTCAATTATGCAGACGCAACACGGACATCCAACAAGCACGAATAGTTGTATCTCTGCACCCGTCATCATCGCGCGTCCTTTCCCTTGCTCTTCCTCCATATTGTGTTTGTTTTGGTTTGTCTTATTTCTGGTGCTCCTTCGAGAGCTACGTGCCGAAGATAGGAGAGAGGGAGATATAGACCAAGCCTCGTTTTTTAATTTTTCTCCCGAACAGTATCTGAGCGACGCCTCATTAGCAGCAACACTGCAGCATAGAGCGAAGCATTGCGAGTTGACACCTCGTGCCATCGCGCCCTCAATCATGCAGACGCAACACGGGCATCCATCAGGTACGAATAGTTGTATCTCTGCGCCCGTCATCATAGCGTGTCCTTTCCCTTGCTCTTTCTTCGCATTGTGTTTGCTTTGGTTTGTCTTATTTCTGGTGCTCCTTCGAGAGCTACGTGCCGAAGATAGGAGAGAGGGAGATATGGACCAGGCCTCATTTTTTAATTTTTCCCTCGAATAGTATCTGAGTGACGCCTTCATTAGCAGCATAGAGCGAAGCATTGCGAGTTCACGCCTCGCGCTATCGCGCCTTCAATTCTGCAGACGCAACACAGACATCCATCAGGTACGAATAGTTGTATCTCTGCGCCCGTCATCATCGCTCGTCCTTCACACCTCAACACGCGTTGATGTGCCTCTTTTTTCTGAAATTCGAGAGAAGTTAAACTTAGTTCACTCAAAATATACTTTGATGTGTCCTAATTAATATAGGTTATCATTTTGAAAAAGAAAATGTGAAAAAATGTTTTAAAGTCTCTCAAGCGCCGAAAGTTCAGTCTATGGAAGTTTTGGATCTTCTTTGGCGCCAAATGATGGAGATTTAACCCCTTCCAGCCGTGGTATATTGCCGTGCTCTCTAAATGAGTCATTAGACGTTGCCCTATTTCTTTCGACAAGGGACACATTTTCTAGCTGGGAAACCTGTAAATATGTTCCTCCAAATTATTCAGAAACTTGGAGTCACAATTCAATCTAAAGTAAGAATATGAAAATTGCCTTTCTTCTGAAAATATTTTCAAGGGAGAACAATGACACCATTCGAATGTTTACAGGACGTTTTTCCTCAACGCGGCAATGTCATTTTTACATTTTGCCTCCCCCCCCCCTCCTCCACGCAGCAAATGTCGGACTATGTCTCAAATATTATGAATGGGACCGCGTTTAACAGAAAGGAACCAAGCCACATCAGCTATTGCCAATTTTAACTGGGCAATTTAATTTTTTACGGGAAAACGTTTGCGCGGATCCCTTTGAAAATGTTAAGGAATTTGCTTTCGTACTATGGAAAAAATTTACTGAAATTTGCACGAAAATCCGCACAACCGTTTTCATGTAAAAAATTTAATTAGCCGATTAAATTTGGCAATAGCTGATGTGGCTTGGTTTCTTTCTGTTTAATGCGGTCCAATTGAACCCTTGAACAGCACATGCTCATCGTTCCTGAGGAAACCTCCCAATTTCAGAGGTCAGTATTCGCCTGTGATCTTGAAATTGTCTCGGACTCCATGTAGAGCTTTCGCATTGCGAGCATGAGCACGCATGAGCCATTTTCTCGGTGAATGGTTCGTCTGCCATCGACCCAGCTACTTACATAACCAGACATGGTTGTGTTGGTAGCACCGGTACATGCGAGTGTAAACAATTCGAAATTTGATATCGGTACATTCTGCGGTGAAAAATAGAAACGGAGGAAACCCTAGGTTGACATGCTTCTTGTACCACCAGAATGATAGCCCCTCACCTCCATCCCCTCGACCGAAGTATCCCTTTACACATCTTCGCTTCAGTCCACCGCTCGTCTCGTTTGAATTTCCTTTCCTCTGAATTTCAATCGGAAGGTGTTTTTTTTTTTTTTTAAGCCGAATTTTCTGTTTTTTTTTCTGTTCTAATCGTTGTTCTGACCCTGCGCAGAATTAATTTAGATGTTTTTGCTCGAAGGATTATTATTTAGTGATAAAAACAACCAATTTTATAATTGGCAGTTGTAGTTTGTGAGAAAATTCGTAGACTCTGTCGGCGGTAATTAAAAGGTATGTTTCAGTAGGAGTAATTTTGCTCTCAAAAGTTTTCTACGCCAAATTGACGAGTAGCTGTGCCACGTTGAGGTACATGCAAGTGTCTGTTCTTCTTTTTCTTAAAAATATCGACAGCTACAGTCGAAAAATTCGCGTCTTCTGGATTTAGCAAATTTCTTCTCCGATTTCATTTTCAAAGAAAAGATTAAGCAACAGTTTTTCTTGAAAAACTTGAATTCTCAATTAATACTTACAGATAATGCAGAGAGAATGTTTGGCTTTAGTTTCTCTTTTTTAAAAAAAATGAAACTTACTCGGAGGTTTTCAAATTTTACGATGGAGATACGCATGCATCTCCGACTCAAGCCATTGATATATCAGTCGTCCTGTAATTTGGTTTGCTTATGGAATGTTTATCAAATTTTGGTGAAAGTATGTAACTTCCGACTGAGGGTTTCAATAATTTTCGATTTTCTTATTTGTTTTTGAATGTTGTGAACATCAACTTCATCAAGGACGTGTAGGGAGGGGGACCATCCGGGATCAGTGCTGCCGTGCTAAGGAAAAACGCCGTATGAGCCATCAGACGTTGCCAAATTTCCCCTGGCAAATCATTAATTTTCAGGAAAATTTTTGAATGTATATCTACCAATTTTTCAGATAATTTTGTTTGTATTTTGACCTAAAGTTTCTGCAAATTTCAAGGAAAAATAATCATAACTTTCGTCAAAAATACATGTTTTATTCGAGGAAATTTCGCAACTCTCGAATGTTGATACGACGTTCTTCCTTAGCACGGCAGAGTGGTCCTATCTCGTTCCTTTAGGTGTGAGGATATGCTGTATCGAAAGATCGTGATGAGATTTTTTCACTTGTACCGATTTCTGCTCTTGAGACCGTAAATTTTAAAATTACATAAAAGTGTTGAGACGGTAAAAAGCTTCGTTGGTCGACTTCGGGTGAAAATCCGCAAAAACAGGACGTTTTCAGAAAGCCAAGATTTTTTAGATGAAAAGGCTCAGAATTTCGGCTTGAAGTGCTGGAATTTCCAATTATATACTAAATACAAACTTCACAGTGGGTGTTTTTGCGGCCTACCTCCAAAATTGAAGGCGAAATAGGTATTCGCGCAATTCGTCCGCAATTCCTTCGTCAATTCGGCCTCCTTTAAATCTACAGTCAGGAAACGCCTCTGACGGGGGTGTAGTTTAAATGATCTTAATGTTTTTACAAAACTGACCCGCGTGTTGTCTGTTTGTTTATATTTTTTAATAATCTGTAAGTCAATTGGCGATGTTATTTTTTACAGTCGCAGATATTAATATCAATTTAAATAGATATCGATCGAATAGGGAACGTTCACAATTTACGTAACACACCTGTACGGCATTTTTGACTCTGCTCCCCCTTTGTAACGCTTTTGTGACGTAGGTCTCTCGTGGGTCACGTGCGTCTGACGCGTTATAGGATCTACCCTTCAACTGCAACACCGAAAAAAAAATGGTATAACGCTCTCCTCTGCCCCCTCCCCCTAGAGCGTTAAGTAATTTATGAACGGCCCCTTATCATCGCAGATATAATACTATGTTCACGGTTTTCTATTTCTTATCTTTTGCCAGATCTTGCTGGAGACATCGATCATGGAGGATGATGTAGTTGCATCGACCAGTACTGCTGAGGGCTTGAACGGACTTTTCCTCGAAGGAATCCCTAAAATTGCCGGTTTGAGTAATGACGAGAATGGCAAACGTGATATCGCTGAGGTATAATAATGTCTTTGAGTTTTTCTTCTTAAGCGCGGTCCGTAATCGAACCCAGAAATTCTGTAGCATCGTTTCATCGTGAGTAAAATACGGTAGACTGCCCCTAAGAGAGCTATTGTAAGATATCTTAATGCAGTATACATTTAAAGTCAATAGCTGTAGCCGAAAATGGAGTATCTTAGATTGCTACGTTAAAAAAGTTGTTTTTTATATAAGAAAACTGTCAAACATTTTTAAAAAACGGGCGAGGCGCATTTCTTTACTGTTCTGACTTCAGGTAAAACGTGAAAGGCGAACACTCATGGGCGAAGAGACTTAAAGTGCCTTCATTATGATGGTTAGTCAAAAACAACACCTGGATTTTTGAATCGATATGAAAAGACCTCGGTCGATGAATAGCATCGCTAAGATAGGGAATGATCGATCGAGGTTATTTACGATTCAACGATCAAATTGCAGGGTTTTGAGCTGCAAAATTGTATTCTTTTGTTTTTTTTGTCTTCATTCACTTTGTATCCGATATTGATCCATAGTAATGAAAATAGACCACAAGACACGGTAAGAAGAAGAGTTAGACCTCTGAAACGGTGTACATCTTGCATTAATGCCGTTACTTTTTACTGTTATAGAACCTACAGTGAAAAGCTAAGAGGAGAGTGGGAGATGGGGATGAGATGGACCTCCTAATATTTTAAAAGACTAAAGCACAGGTAGATTTTTCAAAAACCGCAATCAAGATGAGTATGATGATGATGTTTTTTTAAATTTTCACCATCGATTAAACGTGAAATTCTACTCTATCTGTTGAAAAACCTTCAGGTCAAATTCTATTTTTCAGTCGTAAAAGAACACAATTTGTGTCTTTTTTTGGTCACAGAAATCATTACTGAAGTCACGAAATTATGGTCAATGGTGCCCGTACGATGAAGGCGTTACCTTGACGTGGCGCGATCTGTCCGTCTACACTGTCGTTAAGCAGCAAAGCTTCATCCGTAAATCTGCTCAGACGTACAAACGTTTGATAAACAATGGTAAGGAGAATGAATACAAACTTAGCAACTCATCGTTTTTGGCATGTTCGTCTGATAGATCCAGGCGCTTTTGTGAATTTTACTGACATAATAAGATTCAGAAACCTACTTTTCATGTAAACGTGCGGATATGTAGTAATTAGCACTCCTGCACACGCAAGCTGTACCTTTTTGGTCATAATTATTTTGATACATATATTATTGTGGTCACGAATGATAAGTATGTATTAAAAATAAAAATTGATTACTGATTGCAGCAAGTGGTGCTGTCCGGGCCGGATCGTTGGTCGCCATGATGGGAGCGAGGTGAGTAATTTGGTTATTAATAAAAAAATACTCGTATCAAAACAACATTTACGCTCTTGCACGAAATTTGGTTCTTTTTGCACGAAAACAGAGGAATTAATTCGGTCTGTGGGAATGCATACAGACATACCTCATGATTCCAATGAAAACTAATTAACGTTGTCACTTGAAAATTTTATTCTGAATAGACCGCCTCTATAACGGCGAGGTTGATAACGAGTGCAACATGTTTCTAACTGTTAAAAGTTGGCGACAAAACCTTCCTATCCCGAGTTGCTGCTCATTTTTTGTGTATTGGAGTCTTCATGGGACTCCATAATAGCCTTCCTGTAATACTTTAGTGATCTTTCCATCGCGTTGTCTGACAAAACGATGGTCCGAGTTCACAGCGCCTTGATGCAACTAAACTTGACAGACGGATATACGTGCTGCATATCCAAACATTTGAAGGCACTCCGGCTGTGCCTATTCTCGCTCAAGCAATATACACGGTGCGCCTTATTCTGCTTGCGATTTGTAAAGACTTTACCAAAATTCACAGAATGATTTCGGATTAATGTATGCTCGATCATACTTTGAAAGTAATCGTTTGCTTTCACACGACATTTCCGTTGACCCATGTTTTTTGAGCCAACTTATAATATTATGCCATACAGGACCATTCATACACGCCATTGTTTACCATGCGTAAATATGCGTTTCCTGTATTAAATGATACTTATTTCGTTTTTCTTATTTTGCTTCATTTTGGTACTTTTCCTTAATTTCAGCGGAGCTGGGAAGAGCACACTAATGGCTGCACTGGCGAATCGGTTGTCAGGTGTGTATTCTCTTTATTTGTCAATTTGCTCTGTGTAAGACGTAGATAAAGATAAAAGCGAATTATAGATACTTAAACTCGTACATACTTCATTATAAACGTAGGCACATGCTATGTCCTAAAAATTCAGCCACTCGTGATATTTTTCTGCAAAATGACATGTTTTGGCGAAAAATTTCATCGGTTGAGTTTCTAAAATCATGACTTATTCATTAATTGAAATTATTTCTTGCGTGTGATGAATCTAGGCGGTGTCATTGCCGACGGAGATATCCGAGTGAACGGAAGACCTGTAGGAAAATTCATGCACCGTCTGGCTGGCTTTATGCATCAAGAAGATCTTTTTGTCGACACGCTAACCGTTCTGGAGTATCTTACTTTAATGGTACGTATATATTCTCGATTCTTCATTTTGCAGTACCATCACACTCTAAGTAATTCAATTACAGCATAGTCTCATATACTTAACTCATAAATACTAAGATTTTCGATCAATGATTACGAGGATATTCGGTAAACTCATTTGGTGAACTTGAGATTGTGCGTACGTCAAAATTGGTATTTTACGACTATTTTTTGTCAAATCTATACTCCCGACGAAGTGAGACTAAACTATGCATAGTTAACGCGATCCCAGATTTCTATTTTTATTCAGTTATTTTTCATTACACTAATTTCAGGCTAAACTGAAACTGGATCGCAGGACAAGTCACTTAACGCAACAACAGAAGGTTTCCAATTTACTCATCCATCTAGGTCTTACGAAATGCGCTAATTCACGCATCGCAAGTAATGGATCCAGTCAGGTTTGTATTGGAAATAACTCAGCTTTCGTTTCATACATTTTGATATTACCGAGTTTCAGATCAAAAAGTCTTAGCTTTATTTTATGTGTTAATACGGGTGAATCAACATATCGACGGTGAAAGTCGGCAATCACATAACTCGTTTGCGGCATCTAAAAATCTCCGCCTCTACGTCATTTTTTTAAAGGAGAACAAATTGACATTATTTCTTGAAGTTTTTGCAGAATTTTCTTCGCATTGAGAGGAAAAATCATGACAGTTTTAAAGAATTGCCGTTGAGTAGTTCTCCATTTAAAAAATAAAGTATGACAGGAAGTCTGCGACGTCGCGAACCGAGTTATGTGATTGCCGACGTATACCGTCGATATACGTCGGAACAACTGACGCATACTGTGGAAATGAAACGATCTAATGTCCTTACTTTTAGCCTTCCCTCTATTCAATCAACATAATAATCACGTTCATAACTCTGAATATTGAAAAATATATGAATAATATCTTTTAATGTAACTTACTTCAATTTACAACGCATCAAAAGATCCATAAATGCAGTGTCAGTGGCGATTTTAGCAAGTCGGCAACTTCGTTTTTTCTTTCCTTTGAATTAATGTTAAACAATCGATTCGCGATAAGGCTGCCTGCTTCCTCTAGAATCGATGTTTTTAATGGTCTTGAGTGAGAAAAACAGTAATATCAACTTGCAAGAATAACCAGAGCAGTATGTCATAACCATACATCTACTCTCACGTTTTTCTACCCGATCGTTAAAGTCTCTGAGGGTAAGTCTAATTCAAATGTCCAATCTTACACTATTGTTATTGAAGAATGAAGATGAATAAAGTTTGCATCCGTTTTTATCATCTATAAGTAAGATATTAGAATAAGTAATTATTGAACTCACAGCATAAACAGTTGATGTACTCCTGAAATGTGGTAATTCATTTCGCCTGCATTAGTGAATCAATTATTGTTTTTTCGCAGAATGGGTTATCTGGTGGTGAAAGAAAGCGACTGTCTTTTGCAACCGAAATGTTAACTGATCCAGCTATATTGTTCTGTGATGAGCCCACAACAGGTAAATTATAGCAATTATTGATATACAACTTTGTGAATGGGGACATGCTCACGAGATTTATAAACTATGAGTTTCCTTTTAAAAAACCAAATTTTACTCCAACGTATTTTTCCTTTTTTTCCTTTTTCATACAAAAAAAATACGATTATTTGGAAAATGGATGTTTTAGTCATCCAACACACCAGCGGGAAAGAAGCACGCTTTTTGCGCGTGAGCCCTATTTTACATATAAATCCATGCTCTCTGGTGCTCATGCGAAAATCGAGATACTCCCTTACGCCAGGAGCGGCAATATGGGATGTGTTTTAATATTTTTTATCTATAGTAGGGTTGGATTCGTTTGCCTTCAAGATCTAATGCCTTAAATCTTGCACTAGAGAAAAACATTTCGATTCATGTGGAGCACTGGAGGTTTTTGGTTCAGATTCAACTGAAATTTTTGTGAGGCATTTTTTTCTCCTTTTTTTTCCTTAGGATTTCCGACTTACGTCATCTAAACCGAATTTCGGTTTGTGCGACTAAAAACTTCGGTATTATGATGCAAATACTTGTAACCGAAGTTCTTTCTTTTCAGCGTACAACGAGCATGGCACCATTTATTTTACTCTGCAATCATATTTTTATTTTATCTCTTATTATCTCTTTTATTTCTCCTTATCGTAAATTGAATGTTTTATTTCTTACCGTTGGCGTATTTACTTCATGTCATTTGGTATCTTTTTCCTGCAACAACAGGTCTAGATTCTTATTCTGCACAAAAATTGGTGGAGATGATGCAAGAAATGACTAGTGTCCGTGGGAAAACTGTGATTTGCACAATTCATCAACCTAGCTCCCAGCTCTTTGAAATGTTTCACGAGATAGTCTTGATCGGTGACGGTCGGATAGCATTCATCGGCTCAACAAACGACGCCCTAGAATTTTTCGAAAGGTATGCACAATTACCTAATGATACAACTTTTTCTAGACTATTTCTATATCTAGAACTATTTCTGAATCTATACCTAAGGTACCTCGACTGTGAAACTGCAACAATGCGTATCTTGGTTGCGGTGTTCCGAAATCCCCGCTACTATTTTATTTCTTAAAAAGAGATCGAACCAACATCATGGCTTAAAGTTTTCATAAATATTTTTTATAAAGAGGAGAAAAATCACTGATATTCTAAAAAAAATGTCGTTCGGTAGTTTTCCATGTAGAAAATAAAGTATGGCAGGAAGTCTGGAACGTCACAAACCGAGATAGGTACGCATCTCTACAGTTTCACCATCGCGTTGCTTTCCAGTATACATCCACTGGTGCAGCGTGAAACAAGTATGGAAAATAAAATACGTATGCATCTTTGTACTAATATCTAATGTTAACAGTTTCTGCCGGCACAGAGAGCTTTAGAGTTCTTTTTAAAGCAATCAACTAACACAGAGAGATCATAAGTTGGATCCGATGAGCTCCATACAGTCCAAACTTATTTTTCATTGAGATGGAAGCCTTGTTGTCCTCTACAGAATTGTCATAATATCATTTTTATAATTCTGTTATTTCCGTCCATTCATAAACAACTTGAAATAAAGAAAAATTGAACCACTTTCCAATTAGCGTAAGTTCTCAATATTTCATTGGATTCGCATTAATAATTTCCTGGTCGCAAAAGTCTCAGCGTAAAATGGATGAGGTTGGAAGTCAGAGGTCTTAGGATTAAAACTTGCAAGATACTCATAGTACACATTAGTACAAATACGTCTAAGTGATGGTTTTACCCCCACTTGGTAAACTTGCGTGGTAAAATTACCTACACTTAATAGTAAATATACCAATATTACAGGTTGCACGATTAAATGAGAATATTTAGAACACCACTAAATTTGATCATCAAAAGTAGCAATTTTTCTCGGTAGCCCCCTCCGAATTCGTTAAAAAATAATCTCAGATCCACACGCCGACAACCCCAGATTACTAACTTTTAAAAATCTGCTTAAGCAAAAAATCCATTATTTTTAAACTCACATTCTACGATTTATTACTTTTTGTCACACAAACTCTTGAAAATTAATTGTACATCACAGGAATGGTTATCATTGTCCAGCCACGTACAATCCTGCTGACTTCCTGATCAGAACCTTGGCAATCACTCCTGGCTCGGAGGATATCAGTCACATGGCTGTCAGGAAAATTTGTGATCAATTCGCTGTTAGCGAGTACGCTCAACAAGTAGACTTAGTGATAAATTACGAACTACATATGGGAACATCTTACACGGTAAGTGAAGAACTTAACCTACTACTAGCTGCTCCGGGCGCCCTACGGGCGCCCTCCACAGCTAGCAATGGTGGTGCAGTAGCTTATTTGGAATCGGAGCGATTAGTTGAATCTATTTAATAATGATGATGATTCTGCGGCAGAAGATCAAGGAATTTAACTGCCTCTCTGCGTTACAGGGTGGAGACTGCCATTCTACCGAAAAATGTTATAAAAAGCTCGCTTTATTAATTTTTCTTTTTTTTTTGTGTGTTACTGTTTAAATTTTTTTTTATTTTTATTTTTTGATAATTTTCTAATGACTATGAGGCTTTTGGGATTTATAAAAGATCGAAGCACCTCTTTGTGCACGATGTTTTTTGTACGGTTGCCTTTGGGAAGAATTTGGACTTCAAAATTTTTGTACGATGTAGCTCGTGAGAGTGCAACATATAGTTTACCATGGCCAAAAACTGTTTGGGGTAAATAAATGCCGACTCGCTTCAGTGTTTGACCCTTAGCTTTGATGATGGTCATGCAGAACGCAATGCGAATTGGAAATTGTCGCCTCTTAAAAGAGAAAGGGAGAGAGGAGTCTGCAGGTGACAAATCAATTCTTGGCAGTGAAATTCTTTCACCGGCCTTCTCGCCGGAAATGACCTGCAAATCAAGACAATTTTCATAACGTTTCCAGACGATCAATCGGGTACCATTCGATAAACCTTTAGAAACGTTGAGGTTTCTTAAAAGCATGACAAACACCCCCTCCAAAAGTGTGAGTTTATGCGGTGGTAAGCCACTAAGATTAAGACTGTCCGAGAATTCGAGGGGAAAATTGAGAGCCTCTCCCTCTTCCTCTACAATGAGCCTGTTAACACTGAAGTACGTTTTAGAGACACCTGAAAGAACTTCAACAACCTTGTCGTTAATTTCATTGCAATGCTTATTTTTAGGGGCCACAATTGCGCAGTTTGTGAAATCTACGTTCGAACATGAGGAAGCTATCTTTTCCATGAATTTCAGTAATAATATCAGTTTCAGTAATACTGCTTGTCGGTAAATCAATGAATTCCGGCATGGCCTTTTTTAGCAGAAAGGTAATTTCCCATTCTCAATGGATGAGAGATGCAACTGGATAAAGTTCTTTTAAATTTAGCTTTCGACCCTGGAATTGTTCGAAAATTCACTCAATTTTTTATAAAAAATGTCGTAAAAAATTACACATATAGCAGGGATGCCTTTTTTTTACCATCTTTAAGGATGACTTCTGAAAGAGAGGATACCTGCGAGCTGGACTAAATTCGGATGGCGAGCTCTTCTGTTTTCAAAAACCAAATATCCGTCATTAACTTGCAAAAATTGTTTGTTACTCCATTATATTTGGTCAGAACATTACTGTGTTATAGCAAATTCTCAAAGAAAAAAATTTGTTACTCTCAAATTATAAATAAATAGAGCTGCCCCCCCCCAAAAAAAAAAAAAAAAAAAAAAAAAAAAAAAAAAATCACATCAAAGCTGTCGGCAATTAAAATCAAAGAAGAAAGACTTACAATGTATTCATTTTTTTTTCTTGCAGGACTCACTGGATGAAAAAATGAGGGATTAGTAAGTAGTGCAACTATTATTCAAGTACCAACATTTCCATTTATTTTATTTATTCTTCCTATTTTCATTTATTAATTTTTTTCTTTTTTAATTTATTTACCTAGATTACATACATTCAGTTCGGCACAAGAAGATAATAATGATACTTCAGAGGGCGGCTTCAAACATTTATTTCGATACTTGAATCAAGCATGTTGTGCATTTCGATGAATATAAGGGTTGTCTGAAATTCGGCATTCTATTGGAATAATTTGCCTTCTTTCATTTATTTATTCATTTTCTTATTTTATTTTTTGCTGAAGGGGAGAAGTGTGAGGATGTTTCCTCAATTCTAATTCCCAGGTTGTGCTAAGACAATAAGCCTGTTTAGAATTAGGTTTTCAGATGGTGATAGAAATGACTCAACAAAATCAGTCACACGAGAAAGAAAAAAAAGGTCCTCAGCTTTTCGTCTCTTCCTCCACTCTTGAGCTTTGTTCTTCTTAGGATGAATTGGACTACATTTTGCAATTTGGAACTATAAATTCTAGCTTGGTTTTAAAACGACGTATGTGCCAGTAGTTTCCCTATGCACATAAGTGTTTTTCCAGGAGAGCCAGAAGAGCCAGAATTTATAGTTCCAAATCGCAAAATGCAGTCCAATTTGTCTCCATTATATTTATTAATAATTTGCATTTTTTCCGTCAGCAAATCTCCATTTTGGTTCAGCAAATTATACTGGCTCACATATAGATCCTCTTTGGAGTTGACGAGAGACCACTCGATCCAAACCATGAGGATTTTCCAAAAAATTGTAAGTAATAATAAATTTCACAATTTAGATCCTGAATAAAAAAACTTGCGCTTACAATCAGCGTCAGAAAGCGAACGCTAAGGTCAAGGAAGCCTCCTTCCCTTGGTTCCAACTTGAGGTTTGGTTCCTTCCGGCTGACCTTTGTAGTATTGCAATATAAAGCTTCTTAAACTGGTCTGTTTCTCCTAGAGACACTGTTTTGCGGGGAGTGTATGAAACTGTGTAATACAATTATTTTAACGGCTACGTAGCTTAAATTGCATAACCTTCGAGATGAAGGATAACTTGGATTCTTTCGCGCGTATTTTTATCTGCCACTTGATCAGATTCAAGAGGGCATGAGTTTAGTCGGAATTAGTTTAGAATTTAGCACATATCCCACGGAAGGAAGTCGAGAGAAATCCCTTCACAGATTCGTCGTTACGTCAAAAATTATTTAAATTTTTGCGTAGGCACTAACTGTTCTCTCACAAATCTCGTTCTCTGCGGGTGAGAAAAACTTTGCTGCTTCATCAGTATTCAATGCATTTACTTTAGGTACAGCGGGCTAATTATTGAAATTGATAGACCAGCTACAGACAAAGAGGACATAGGGAGTATGAAGCGATCCTATTGGTTGAAATGAGTGGTTCCTATAGACTAAGGGAGAAAATGACGGACTAACTATTTGGTCGTTCGTGGGTTGCCCTTAGTTGGTCAATTGACTACCTCCTCTGTCTATTGCAACCATCCGCTTCAACAATGGGATCCCTTCATATCCCTTGTGTCTTCTTTGTCTATAGCTTTCTCTATCAATTTTAATAATCAGCCCGCAGATTAGTTAAAGTTTTAAGAGAACGACTAGATATAAAAAATTGTCCATTCTTGCTGTTTTTGGGAGAACGTCGGAGTAACTTCACTCACACATTACGTTTTTTGCAGCTCATTGCGGTGATGTCAGGTTTGTGCTTCACCAGTTCGGTGCGATTGACTCAGTTCGGCATTCAGTCGGTTCAAGGAGCTCTTTTTATCATGGTGACGGAGAACACTTTTGCACCCATGTATGCGATCCTTAACTATTTTCCACGCCAATTTCCACTTCTAAACAAAGAATACACGTCTGGAATCTACCCGCCATCAGTTTTTTACTTGTCGAATTTGTTAGCTCTGGTAAGTTATCTCAGTCACCCGCAATGATGATGAGATGAGTGTTAGCTTTTTCGTCGTATCGTTCTGCAATTTCAGAGCCTTTTTAGTCTAAACTGAGAGGTGCAGAGCCTTCATTATCTGAAATTTTCACTGACCAATGAAAAGTTGCTGGTTGGCCAGGTTGGCCTAGTGGTTAACGAGTCTGCCTCTGGATCAGTAGGTCCCGGGATCGAATTCCGGTAGTGGTGGCAAATTTTCGCGGAACTGATGAGTGGATCTGCAGAAACAGATTCTACTCGGCCTTAATCCCTGAAAATTTGAAAAGCCTCGAAAAACAGATTCTACTTGGCTTTAATCCCTGAAAATTTTGAAAAGCCTGAAGCAACCAGGCATTCATTTGCCACATTCATCCAATGTGGCAACTTCTGAGAATCATTCACAAATGTCTATAGAGGGCTGTGGATTCCGAACCAATAAATAAAGGAATAGGAGCCAGATAAATTGCAAATAAAAACAACAAAAAAGGGTTAAAAATACGTCTCATGCACAGTTAGCTTATTGATCAATTCCTTGGCAGATCAATCACATTACCTTTGGCTTTGGAATAAAATAACAAAGTTCCAGTGGGATAGATAGATTTTCAACTAAACCAACTAATCCTACGTAAAATTCATCCAAAGGTTCCTTGGTGCCAGGGCCGGATTTACCTACTTACCGCCCATGGGCCGCTAGTATTTTGCCGCCCCTTCTCATTTGTTTTGAAACATCAATTAAAACCGCATCAAATGAACGTGCCAGCGGGGGAGGGGTGCATAAGACGCGTTTACTGGTGTTGAACACATTTTTTGGGAAAGCCCTGTCAACACCACTAACAAAAGTTCACGGAACTTTGCGCGAAAGTTAAGTTTCGTAAACCTATCTCTGTGTGGACAAAGCCTTCCATTCATACGAAATGAACGAAAAAATTATGAAAGAACAAACATAAATGTGGATTAATGATTTTAACTTCCGCCGCCGCGCCTCGCAGACCGCACTGTGTTTGACGCAATGCGTGAAGTATTCACGCAGTCTTGCAGGCGCTATGCGTCTCACGCTGATCGCACTGTGTTTGCCGCAATGCGTGAGGTATTCATGCATTCTTGTAGGCGCTATACATTTCACGCTGTCCGCAATGACCGCACTATGTTTGATGCAGTGCGTGAAGTATTCGCGCAGTCTTGTAGGCGCTAATATGTGTTACATGCCGATCGCCGCGCCAAGGGCTTCTCTTTTTCATCTCAAGTCCTCATCATTTCTCTCTACGTAAGTCGCGCCGTTCCAGGCCAAATTGCGTCTTTGGTTTCTCTCTTAACTCAACTAATTGAAGGTGCTGTCTCTTGTATCACTGAAAGACGACAAAAGTAGAAATTACTATACTCTCAGAAAATTAGGGACTTTGTCGCCAACTCTCTTTTGTAATTTTTTCTTCTAAATCCGAATTTTTTTTATACCTACATTTAAAGAAATTGCAAAGTTTGCCGCCCCTTATAGATTTGCCGCCATGGGCTGCGGCCCATGTGGCCACCCCCTTAATCCGGCCCTGCTTGGTGCCACTTTTTTGTTGACCTACACTATCAACTTCACATATCATGAAATCTCTTGGTGGTCAGATCACATTTGAGGGGCTTAGAGGACAAAAATAAAGAACTTTTCAGCAAGCTATAATTATCTTCATTCTCTTCATTTTCCTTTTTTTTTAAATTTTTAGGGACCTGGGCAGATTTTGGAGCCTTTACTCTTCGTTGTGATCGTTTATCTCTTTGCTGGACTCCGCAGCAGCGTTTATGCATTTGGCATAACAGTTCTGGCGATAGTTTTGACGATGAATGTGTCGACAGCGTGTGGTAGGTCATAATCAGATTTACATTACAAAACACTTTGTCTTAGAAAGGATGCAGTATTTACCCAAAAAAATTAACTGGACTTAACAAGCAAAAGTTAAACTCTTTAAGATGACAATACTATTGAATTGCATTGTTGGATATTGGAATAAAATTTTTAGAATCGAAGAGGCTAAAATTAAAGTACTCTTAAGAACGAAGGCATAGTAACTTTGACGTAAACTTTTGGTTTGGACTGAAGTTAATTATGATGATTATGCGGCTGATTTTTTTTTTCTTTCAAGGGCCAGATCGGAGGTTTTGATGGTTTTAATGGATAACCATTAGGTATAACACTACTATTGAAAGTATACTATTGATGTGTTTAATTTCATTTGTTTCAGGAATCTTCTTCTCAGTTGCTTTTGACTCGGTTCCGATTGCAATGTCCTACCTCGTGCCGTTCGATTATGCATTAATGATCACCTGCGGAGCTTTTATAAAGCTAAGGTCCGTAAGTTCAATTCATCGAAAACAACATGGTTTATTTACTTATTTACTTATTTATTTATTTATTTATTTATTTATCTATTTATCTATTTATCTATTTATCTATTTATATTTTCTGTGAGATAAAAAGATAATTTAATTAATTCATAGTATTTGGGACAAACATTTCGCCTTTCAATTTTTTTTATACTTTTTAATTTGAAAATCCCTCTCGAAACGAATTATATTCGACAAAGGCGATTGATTTCAAACACTGAGTTGTGAAGAAGAATGATAGAATTTGGGATTACCAAAAGTGGTAGAATTAGATTTCTTTGCTTCTCTAAGCACCCTTTACATTTATTTCAGGGGATAATGGGTTCAACTGAAAACCCATGGGCAGGTGTAGTTAGCTTATTTTGGAGGCCAGCCCTGGCAGTGGCCTCCCTATCACCGGGACGTCTGGGGGTATAGAATATCCTCCTATCTAAAGTAGGTTCAAAGGGCCTCACCCGGAGAATTTTTGAAATTTCAGCACTATTTGGACGCATTTTGAGACTTCTTTGGCGCAAATTTTCCATCTAAACCTACACATAAAATAGACAGTTTTAAGTATTTTCAGCTCAAAAGTCGCTAGTCGCTCTTTATCGCTAGAGGGAATTTCTAGGGGGGGGGGCGGCAGATTATAGTATTTTTTTCAATTCTTAGGGGGAGCAGGACCCACCCTAGCTACCCGTGGCGTGACGCATTTTGCGATATATCGATTGATCTGCTATTTAAACCTATGGAAAAGGATCGATAAACAGGATGTTCGCAGCGAACACCTTAATTATCGATTCTTTACCACAGCTTTACATTAGAGAGGTATCGATAATCGATCATTCACGCCTCGCTATTCTTCGCAAGGGGCCATGTAAAAACCAGACTAGGATTTAACCTGTGATTTTTGTGTTGCAGTACTTTGCCTGACTATGCATACTGGATCCAATACATATCTTGGCTGATGTACTCGTATGAAGCCATGACAATCGTACAGTGGAACAACATCACCAATATATGTAAGTAATGGATAGGGATCAATCGGTCGAGAGCCTCATGTGCTTTCGTAAACAATTGTAATCATACGAATACGATACATCCCTGTCGGAAAAAGTGAGACCCAGAGGTGCTTAGTACATTTTAACGGCATAAATTTTCATTTAACAAGTTACTCATTTACTCAAGCCCGGTTCCAAACATCCTTTTGGATTTTTTGGGGAATGTGCTCGTAGGTACTCATACTTAGTGACTGGATGAAAATTCCTTGCAGTTTGCGAAATGTTGTCACGTGTAACGTTAAAACATTGGGTTGCAATTAACTGACTCTCACCCCTTCAAGAATGCTCGTTATGAACTCATTTGGACAATATTTGAAATGTTATTTAAGTTTCTTGTTTACATAATCTTTTTATTATTTTTTATATTTTTCAGCTTGTTTGGAAAATCAGCCAGATCTTCCATGCTTAGAGAACGGTCAGGAAATTCTCAACAAGTTTAGTTTTGGAGAAGATAATCTCCAACGTGACATCTTGGGTCTTGTTTTATTGTACATCGCATTTCATATTCTTGGTTTCCTTTGTTTATGTAAACGTATGAAACGAAATTAAATGGTGGATAAAATGCTGACTTACGTATTTATTTTATTCCATTCTTTGTTTTTTTGTTTCACTATGCCACGAGTTTAGCTATACATATGCTTTTCCGTTCTATGTGTACTTATAATGTACCAATGCCTTACTAAAGTTGAAGATACGTGATATTATTGTTCAAAATTTCAATACAGTCCGGGGCCGGATTAGGGGGGTGGCCACATGGGCCGCGGCCCATGGCGGCAAAGTTAGGAGGCGGCAAATTTTGCAATTTTTTTAAATGTAGGTATGAAAAAAATCGGATTTAGAAAAAAAAATTATTAATAAGAAAAGGAAATAAAATCTCTTTTTCCTGAGGGTATAGTAATTTCTAATTTTGTCGTCTTTCGGTGATACAAGAGACAGTATATTTAATTAGTCGAGTTAAGAGAGGAACTAAACACGCAATTTGGCCCAGAGCTCAGCGCAGAAAGGAATGATGACGACGACTTGAGATGAAAAGGAGAAGCCATCGGCGCGGCGCGGTCGGCATGTAACACATATTAGCGCCTACAAGACTGCATGAATACTTCACGCATCGCGTCAAACACAGTGTGGTCAAGAACGGTTGGCGTGAAACGCATAGCGCCTACAAGACTGCAGGAATACTCCACGCATTGCGCCAAACACAGTGCGATCAACGCGGCGCAGCGGCGGAAGTTAAAATTATTGAACCACATTTATGTTTGTTCTTTCATAATTTTTTGGTTCATTTCTTATAAATGGAGGACCTTGTCCACACAGAGATAGGTTTACGGAACTTAACTTTCGCGTCAAGTTCCGTGAAATTTTGTATCTTTTGAAATGCGTCCAACACGCGCAGGTAAACGCGTCTTATGCACCCTTCCCCCTGCGGCACGTTCACTTGATGGTTTTTATTGATGTTTCAAAACGAATGAGAAGGGGGCAGCAATATACAGGCGGCCCATAGGCGGCAAGTGGGTAAATCCGGCCCTGATACAGTCTTTAAATAATCATATTTTTTTCGTACCATACTTTTTTTATGATATTATCACGACATAGCAGCCCAATTTAAACTTCGTCCAAAGTTTGAGGGAATATGTATAGTATCCACAGAGGGGGGAAAAATTATAATCACGGGGTTGGGGGTATATCCGCCCCCTAATCTACTTGGCCCCTCTCGAGGAATGTGAGGGATTTTGCTAAGTTAGGTCCGTGACATATCTTTCATTTTTGAAATTGTAATTCGCTTAATTTTTCGATGAAAACAGTTCTTAATTGCTTCTGAGATGCCATTTGGAGGTAAGGAAACCCCCTAAACTTTCCTTTGGAGCTAGAAATGTCCCATAGATCCCCCTTGATAGAGTGTCTGTCAGTGCCCCCCAAACCCCCTTCGAAGAGCTGCGCCTTTGCCCCCCCCTCCTTTCCAACAAAAATGCCCTATAGTTCTGTCCATGATCACTATCAATTTTTAATACTTTGAGGCAAACCAAGCAGGTTTGAAGTAGCTCTGCAGGCTTTTTAAGTATCAGGGAAGAATATTGGATGAAACTTGGCTCACATCTTAAAAAGGCTTATTCGTTACAACTTTTATTATATCTTAAGAAACAAGATCTCCCCGGTAATGGTGATTATTTCGGAATACAATTCCTGCCGCCCGATCCTTTCCTAAATCCTAAATTAACAGATATGAGTATCCACATGAGGATAGCTGAACTCTGAAATCATGTACCTCTTTGCAGTTTAAAAATTTCGGGCATACTCACTTCACTTTTTAGAAAGGAAACAAAGTAATCTATTGATTGAACATTTAGCGATTTGATCATGGGGGGGTAAAGAAAAATCAATGAGAATCTCAAGCCACGTTATTTAGTTTAGCCTTCGTGAGAATTTCATTTCATGAAGTAAAACGAACGAATTCATTTTCTTTTTGATTTCGTCTCGGCATTTCTCGAAGCATCGATGCATACTCAATTGCCGCACGAGGTTTTGAAGGAGTTTTATTTCTCCCACAAGGTGCAAACGTAATGCAATATTTATGAATGGTTATCTCTAATCCATTAATATAGATTTATTTTTTAATCCATTCATCTTTGCATTTAATATTTATTTTTATAATAACGGGGAGGATGTACCATTATATGTAGTTTTATTTCAAAGTTGCAGTGTAGAAAAACGTATTTTACGGAAAGATTTTTACGTACAGTTTTCCCCCAAAATTTGATTGATGGCTCCAGGTCAAAGACATCTCCAGGTTTGAAACCACATTTCACATTGTACCGATCGAGAATCGAGCTGGGTACTCTATCGGAGCGGAAAAAAACAGTAACCGAAAGCTGAATTTGGCCCTTGCTGCAATTCAAAGGGAGCAAGTTTCCGCACAGTTTTTTCGGTAACTTTGTTTCCAAGCGATAATGCATCAGGTCCGATTTAAGAAAAACGATGACCTATTCTGTTGTCCTATACTCCCATGCTAAGGGAAAACGTCGTATAAACATGCAAGAGTTGCCAAATTTCCTTCGATAAAATGTTTATTTTTGAGGAAAGTTCTCAATATTTTTCCTTTAAATTTTAAAGAAATTTAGGTGCAATTGCGAACAACATTTACTATTAAGCTGAGAAAAAAAAATCATAAACTCATATAGAAATTCGTATTTTATCAAAGGAAATTTGGCAGCTCTTGAGGGTTCATACGGCGTTTTTCCTTAGCACGGCAGTATAATCTTACTCTATGATATGAAATCATAGGAGTGATGGGTAATGGCAAAAAACCTGAGGCGTGGAGCGCTGAGAGGGGAGGTCTGGACCGCGAAGCGGTCAGAGGTCGTACCCCCAGTAGTTCTTTACAAACATACAAGGAGTTACGTGTAAAAACGGTCCGAACAGGAAAATTGCGCGATTCGAATTTCATTATGCACGGAAAACATTAAATCGCTGATTTCACGATACAATTGCTAAAAAAAGTGACCACAATGTTTTAATGTATATAGATTTTGCAACAAAAAAATACTACTTTAACCACCCCGTCGTTAAATTAACTCACAATAGTGGTTAAAGTAGCATTTTTCTGTTGTAAAATCTACGTTGAAACGTTGCAGTCACTTTTTTAGCGATTGAATTGTTAAGTCAGCTATTTAATTTTTTCTGTGTAGTACCAGTTCGTTACACTATCGTATAGTATTGGCTGAGGTCAAAAAAAGTTGGTCCGCCTTAGGTTTAGGCTGAAGTTGGGACGATTGAAGTACAGAAAGATGTTGCTATAAATGAGAAATAACAGAAATAGGAAAGGATTACTCGGGCCATTTTTGCATGGAATGAATGATTTGAGAAGGACATTATGGGATATAATGCCGGGTAGGTACCTGGGCCGCCTTTGCATAAAATCACTTTTGACCTATGTGAGCTGCAAATATGGATTTCTAAGAAAAAATAAAATAAAAAATTGAAAGTAAAAGTTGAATTATCCTTTTTAAAACAAAAATTGTAAAAAAATTAAAAATTTGTTCACATAATATCGGCAAAATATGTAATCCGAAAAGTCGTTCTCTATAAAACTGGCTCGACCCCGCTTGGGCTGTTATTGCACCTAACTCATCATCAGCAATAATATATAGCTAAAAATGGTGGTAAGCTGGTGAAATTGCCTCCTGCTTCTAAACAAGTAAGTGTAATATTTACTTTATTTTTGATCACTCGAACAGTCCCTGAGGTTTTTGAAGAACACGAACAATTTTTGCCCAAGACTGGAGGTCACCTATCAGAATAAATACAAGTATTTTCCACAAAAACGTTTCTGTCAATTTTTTTAAAGGTTCATTCCTGCATGGAGTTACTGTTCTTTTTGGAAAAAACACAGTAGCACCATTGCCAATACATACTTTGTGTTACGAGTGCATATAATAATGAGTGCGAGTATGAGAGGAGAAACTCGCTTATAGACACTCCTCCGTTAATCAGGTTGCAGCATTCCGCGGCGCATCTTACTCTCTGGCACAGTCTTGCCGTCTCTGCCCTCAGTCTTCCTATGGATCGGCCATTGTGTTCTTCTACTGCCAACTGTGCGAGAATAACCCTTCCGACCCACTCCTGATTTCGGAGGAATTAAATCCTGAACGAGACACTATTATGGACAATAAATTTCTATTTAATGAATTATACGATCGAATTAAAACATCATATTGCTAGGATGACTTTATTGCACAAGTTTTTGGATCAATTGGATCCATACACGGTGACATATTAAAGTTCGTTGAAGTTTTACTCAGTAAAATTTTGGCCTTTTATCAGTGGCACAAAACCATTGCTGATTATATTTTTTCCAGAGACATTTTTATTGCCGCAGAACGGCCGAAAAGTCAACCATCACAGTGTGAATCGTGAACGTGGTGGTGTCATCTGTCAGTACCCGTCCTTACTGCAACTCGCGCGGACCAGTTTCGCGACGGTTTTTTCTGGATTTTGCCTTCGGTCGGACTAATTACATATCCTCACAAAAAAGTAATATAGTGTTGCTAAGCATGTGAATCTGTGCATCGTTGTGTATTTATAATTTACTAACATGCCTATGCCTATCAGTTAACGGTTCGGTCGTTATTGATCGCCTACGTATTATTTTCATAACTGTCTCGCATCGTGCAAAATGTGGATGTGCAACGAATGGCCTGACCTTCCGAGTGCCGAAAATTCATCCTTCCGTAGTGCTACATCAATTTTTCGTCAGCCAGTCTCGATATTTTTCATTGCTGGTTTTGAGGTTAGCATCGCTCCTTGCAATTCACCTCTTTCATAATGTGTTAATTCCGTTAAATTTTTTCAATCAGAAATATTGATTACACAACATAAGATATAATTGTTGTGCCACATTTATAATGAGCTGGTCCGTTTGATATTCCTTGTATCTCATGGAAGATATTTTACTTTTTGCGTAAAAGTTTAATCGTATCCTGTGCCCTGGAAAGAAGGTAACTACTGTGCTACGTTCGATTTCCCACTCATCTGTTACCGTTCCAAGTTAAAGTTGGAAGTTCCCTCATTTTTCAAATTTAGTTTCACCAATGTTCTTCGTCTGCAGAAGGAGATAATTATTGTGCTATGTCTTATTCCATATACGTGTATCAATACTTCAATTCAATAAATCTTTCCCGCTTTGGATGAATGTTAATGTATGTCCAGTGCCGTGTGGATGTCAGTAATCACAGTTTTTCATTGGTCTTCAATAGTTAGTTGTTTTTGCCGTTGGCTTTGCTAATTGTTAGCTTCAAGCAATTCATTAATTCCTCAAATTGTGTGCCGCGCTGCATTTATAATATTGCTCCTTGTGCAACATTATTCTCTTGTGTAAATTGTGTGTGATTAGAATCAACGAGAAATCTATCACCATGATCCTCCTCAGAATAAGGATACTTCTTCAAAGCAGCGCATTTTTGTGACGAAGTTTCATGACATCTTAGGTAAGCATAGTTTTCCTCCTTTTATGGCTACTAAGCACATCTTCGTTCATTATCTGTCTTACCACGGTTTTTTACTGATTCGTAACTGCTGCTGGAAACAGGCGGTTCTTTCTGCAGTTATCTTTAAGGCGAATGCAACTGCCATCAGCAGAATGGCTTTTGGCCAAATTTAAATTTTTTACAAGTCTGCAACTATGTCCAATCAAGAGTCCTGTAGAAAACACTAAATTAATCCAAAGGTATCATCACTTACTGCCTACGTTACTAGGCAATCTGACCCTTTAACAAATCTGCATCCAAATTCTGATTGCAAGCTAGAATTTCCAATCGGATAAAGTTTGTAGTACTTCTAAAAGTTCACTGTAGTAAACTGTTCTATATATCTGCTTGTAACAGCACTGTTCCCCCCGGTTGTCCCTTGATTCCTACTAAACGACAGCAACGTAGCCACTCGCATATCAGGGTGCACTTTTTTGCTACGTGTTGGGTCTTCACTATGAGACCAATACGATGTGCTCTTTGAAATGTTGTTATTTACTTATTTGGGATTCGCTGTTTTGAGTGGATGTGTGCCTTGAGTGAACATGCGCCAAAACAGTGGTTGCACGGGAGGTCATAACCACTGACCAGAACACAAATACTTCCTCAGCCTCAGCAACTCACAAGTTGTTCGCAACTATGTGATTGCATTGTTAAGAACGATTTTCACCCTTGAACTTATTGATCCGCTTTCCAAAAAGTTTCGCTGCCCAATTATTTTTGTTGCTTTATTAGAGCAACGCATCTATTTGCTAGAGGATACTTAATAGACCTATAGATAATTTTATCTGCAGATGAAATAAAATTTTCTGAGGGGGTACTTACAATTGCATGCAAATGTAACAAATGTTAAAGTTTAGTGTACTGGTAAACTTACCAGTGAGAGTTCATTGACAACAACTTGCGATGGTAGTATCTGCACAATAGTCAAATATATACAAAAACAAGGGTAGAAGGTAGAGGAAAGGTAAAATTTCGGCAGACACTATACCAATCTAATTAGAGTACCCACTCCCTACTCTAAAATTTTACACCTCAGAGTGTTTTAAACAGAAAGACCAAATTTTTCTCCGCCACAGAATTTCAGAATTCCCCTCTGTATGAGTACTCCACACTTAGGCACTGAAACCTTCAGTATGGATACTTTCAGTGTCTGTAAATCCCTTCTTTTCAGCACTGTCTCATGGAAAAATCATTTAAGAATTTAATTAAGGCTTAGTATATTTATTTATGAAGCTGATCCTGTCAAAATGTCTCCTGTCTCTGTGGAGGGGATCCACTATTTTGCATCATTTGTTTTTTTAGGATGAGAGTATAAAAAAAAATCAGTTAAAGTAATCACTGAGCAACCGCTGTCATATTTCTTGCTGTTAGCTAAGTGTCTCGGCACGGGAATAAAGTCCGAGGAAATTGAAAGACAGAGACAAGTTTATGAAAAAGTAACGCACGCAACCCCTCGGTTCTAGCTCCATCCTGATTCCTGAAATCCAATATCCTTGGCGAAACTGCAAAAATGCGTATCTCAGTTGCCGTAATGGAGAGAAAGTCACTGAAATTTTTACAAAAAACGTTCGATGATTCTTCATGTTCTTGTAGAAAATATAATATGACAGGAGGTCTGCAACGCCGCAAACCGAAATACGCATTTCTGTAGTCAGAGGTAGAGTACCTGTATAGCGAGAGTATGGACAGATCGCTTCATGGAGAGCTTAGGGCCCAAAAGTGCAGCTACCCTTCTAACCAACTTCTGACGCACTAAATTTCACTGCCAGTCTGTGGATTCCAATTCTAACGAAGATGGCTAAGAAAGTACATAAATGAGCGTTCTCCCACAAAAATGAGTAAATTTATACAAAAACTAAGTCAAATACGTGCTTTATAAGCGATGGTTCGTTACAATTGTATTAATAAATCGTTCTGGATAATTGAAATTCATAAGTTGGCTGCATTTCTGGGCCCTAACTTTTTTCGTGGAGGCATCGGTGAAGGCCTGATGGATTTTCGGAGTTTCACATCTGTCTATACTCTCGCTATACAGGTACTCTAGTCAGAGGTGCACATTCTTCCATGTGGAAACTGTTCTCGGTATCGAGAATATTTCGCTGGAAAACCTTTCTACATATAGTGTTTCGGTACGTAATAAAATATGGGATTCGAAGTGAAGGAAGAAAAAATGAAAGAAAAGGCTTCTACAAAATCTAGGAGGCTTCCACAATTTCACGCGAAAATTTATCGCGTGATCAGGGCAAAAAACGGCTTGGTCGTGTCATCGGTTCAAATTGACGCACCTTCAATCCAGCTAGCGGCAATACGGACATCACCCGTGGTCGAATAGTTATCTCAAAGCGCCTTTCGTTATCGAAGTCAAATCTGCAGAACTACGCGCTCAAAACCCGATTTACTTACCTCCGATTGCGCCGTTGCGCACTTCCACCCGTGTCCCGTTTCTATTAACTTATTTTATTTTTTAAATGAGCAACAGTTTTTCTCTAGATATCCCGCGAATTCCCCTTAATCATTGTTATCTCAGAGGATTTCGCGGTGATATTTTGGTTACTTTTTGTTGTTTCTTTTTTTCCCGTTTTAACCAGAGATAAATGTGATGCATGATCTGAGATTTTGCCAGGTTGCAATTGAGATACATATATTTCCTTAAATTATGACAGAAACGGGAAGCGAGACAAGAATTATCACGCATACTACCAGTTCATTATTCGCGCCGCGCCAGCGATCACAGCAGCGTGGTTTTGTTGTCGTCGCAAAGTGACGCGCCTTCAATCCAGATAGCGGCAATATGGACAGCACCCGTGGCCGAATAGTTATCTCAAAGCGCCTTCGGTAAACTCAAATATGCATGACTGCGCACAAGAAACCCGATTTATCTCCGATTATACCGTTGCGCACCTCTACCTATGTCCCGTTTCTATTTATTTATTTGTGTTTTTAAACGAAACAACTCATTTCCTCATAATTTTCCTCATAATTAAATTATAATGAAGTCAATTAACGATGACCGTACGCAATAAAATGCGTATTTATCTGCATATGTAATATGTAGCGTAGCACACCTCCACTCGTGTTTTATTTTAATCAATTTTTTCTTTTTTTTTAAAAAAAAAAGAGCTTCCTAGGTACAACATAGTTTCTCTTAAGTTTTTGCAAATTTTTCCTAACCATCTCAATTGTAATCATAGAAAATTTCGAGGCGATATCGTAGTTTGCCCTTTTTTTTAAACTAAAAAAACATGGTCAGAGCTTCTGAAACGTTAGAATTAGAGAATTTATGATAAAAACGGGAAGAGGGCCAAGAATAATGACTCGTAGTGGAATGTTTCCGATCTCTCCATCGAATGCCGATGTGGTATCACATTTAAATCGTCTGAAAATCTCCTGCACGTAAATTGGACTTCTTAAGCATGCGGCATGTTTTCAAATGTTAAATGCTGCCGACAAAGGGTAAGCGCTGTATGAGCACTTGGGATTTTTTTTTTTTCCAAATCTGCTAGGTACAAAAACCAATAATGTTTCTCTAATGTTTCAAAGAAATTTACCCACAGTTTAGTATAGTTTATCCATTAATCTCCAGGAAAAAACATTTATAACTTTTCTTAAGAACTACATTTTTATTCAGGGCAATTTTGTAACATTCGACTGATGTTGCGGCGTTCTTCTAAAGCACAGTATTATGAGAGGCCAAAACTACATCTTTTTTTCTCCTTTTTTTTCAAGGAAGTAAATTTCATTACCTATGATGTGATGTTGTAGAAGAATGGTAACGCCGCGCCGTGCCCTATCATTTTTTGGTCCCACGTTCCCTTTTTTTCACGAATTCTTCTTGATGAGTCACTCGAGTTCGTGCTTGTTCCTCTCACAATTAGTCCGTTTGTTCCGTTTATGTTCGCATCGTTTCTTCACTCCGAAGCTCATGCTCAAAAAAAAAAAAAAAAAAAAAAAAAAAAACCACCCATTTTGAACGTAACCGCACTCAATTCACGTGTTTTACAATGATTCAGGGCTGCAGAAAGTTCCTAGTCAACATTCCCTTCTTATTTACAAATGGCCGAAGGTGCTAATGTCTGTCAATTTAACCGAACTTAAAAAAGCTGAATGAAAGTTGAACGAGGCATCCCAAAAAAAGTAAAATTTACTTTTTTCAACGCAGCTCAGTGAACAAAAAGAGTGCGCCGAAATTTGGCACACTCATTCAATTCGGCAGAGGTCAGGTCAAAAAGAGTCATTTTTTGGTCTGATTTGACATGGAATGGCCCGTATTTAGCTCCCTTATTTAGTGGATTTTCCAAAGTAAATAAACTATTTTATACAATCCACTCGTAAATTATGTTTATAGTTCCTTTTACCATGAATACGTCCGATATTATGTGTCAAGGCGTGAACTCTAGACATTTCTCATGTGCTCAACGTGATCCTTTTGCGATTTAACTAATGCTCAACGTGATCCTTTTGCGATTTAACTAATGCTCAACGTGATTCACGTGCGATTTAACTAGCAGAAATTATACGCACAATCAGTTGCCTTTGCCCCTTATTTGAGTTTTTAGCCACCGGGAAATCAGGAAAACGTCAGGGAATTTTGTTTAACCTGGAAAATCTGAATTTTTTTATGAAAAGCTGGAAAAGTTAGGGAGCTTCCCAGCTTTAAACATTTTTTCGGTTTCCTTCACAATTGCACGAAACAAATGTTGACAACATTTTTCTTCATGTACTTCCAAGATTTTTCGCGTACAAGTCATAGAATTTAATGAAATAGTCCTGAAAAAGTTAGGGAATTTTTCCAGGCACCTTCATTCGCCACGAACCCTGTCTTATGCGCCACCGTATACCCAGACCTCCGCAATTTTCCCGGAAGCCTCCGCAATTTTCAGTAACGCGCTGGCTGGGCTTCCGCAAAAAGGTCAACACAACGCGCTGATCAATTTTTTTTAAATTTTTTTTCTTTTAATTTTTTAAAATAAAATTATGATTATATTAGGATGTGTGCCAAATTCGTATTAGTGCTCATGAGTTGAACATTTGAAAACCTTCGGGAAGGAAACAACTCTTAACCTCCACAATTTTTAGGAAACTTCCACTATTTGAGCTCGAACGCGCGGTCAAGAACAATTGCCGTTGCTAAAGGAAAACGCCGTATGAGCCTTCAGGCGTTGCGGAATTTTCTTCGATAAAATACGAATTTTCAAGGAAACTGTCGGATATTTTCCTTCGAATTTTTCAGAAAATTTTGTACACAATTTAATCTAAAATATCTGAAAATTTCTGAGCAAAATATGCACAACTTGCCTGAAAAATACACACTGGAAAAAAAAAAACACATTGGATCCCGAGTCCACACTCTTAAAAACATCGACAAGAAAAAATACTCTTGATTCAATCGGATTTTTGCTCAAATCAAGATCCAAGCCTCTTAATTTGAGCGGATGTCCTTTTGATTTAATCAAAAATCTGATTGAACCAAGAGTATTTTTTCTTGTCAATGTTTTCAAGAGTCTGGACTCTAGATCCGATGTGTTTTTTTTCCAGTGCATGTTTTATTCGGGGAAATTGGCAACTCTCGCATGTTTATACTTTTGGCGTTTTTTCCTATTACGGCAGTGTATGCAACATACTCGCCCCCTTCATTTCTTTTAAAAAGTTAGGACACGTTGAAAGGCACGAAACTCGTCCCTACAGTGTGTGTCGGACGTTTTTCAGGGCTGAACGGCGTAAATTATTCAATTTTTTCTCCTATTTTTTCCCTCTCTCGGAGCGTCTCGTTATGAACTCTAACGAGGCGAGAACTCGCACGGGATTCATTAGCGCCCAAGCCCATGCCCTCCGCGAGGCACGTCGACGTCGTATTCGACGTCCAACGACGCGTCAAATCCTCGAAATTTGATTTAATTGTTGCGTCAAGAACGACCGGTCCTTCCTCAACGATGTGTGGTCTTCCAATTTGCATGACGGTGCGGAGGCCCCAGTATCAACACACGAACACACGCCGCTGCCGACCGCTAATGAAAATTAGCTAACGAAGCTGCTGCGTGCCCTTGAGGCTTTAACGACGAGGGAACGTCGCACAGTGGGGCCAGTCAATTAGAGAGGTTGGACATGAAATTTTTGACTGAAACCAAATTTTTTATGTTTATTCCGTCATATTTTAAATTTTAACAGGGTGTCTAGCATCAGGATTTTCCCGAATCTATCAGGATTTGAGGTCAATCAGGATTTAATCCCGTTCCCATCAGGATTTGAGGAAAAATCGGTCGTAAAAAAAGGATTTGAAAAAAGTCGGCTTTCCGCATATTTTCCGATAAGTATGCGTTATCTGTTCGTTAATTTTTCACCGCCAAAAATCAGGATTTGGAAAAATTATGAAATCAGGATTTAGCAGTCAAAAATCAGGATTAGGTAAACAAGATTTCCCAGAATGGAAAAGAAAAAAAAAATTGACATCCTGTTTGAGAAATGCGTCTAGAAGAAAATTTCCCAAGAAAACCGATGGAATCACTTTTAGAACACCCAAGTTTTGTATGAACGGAGTTATAAGCGTTCAAACTTTCCAAATTTTGTTCGACCTCTCCTATTGACTCATCGTCAGTTCACTGTGCGTCGCGGCTCGGTTTCGCCTCACAATACCTTTCTCACAGCGCGTCTTTTTCGCACCACACTTTCAATTAGACGTTCCTGTGTGTTCCTGAGACAATCGCAATGGGGGAAAATGACTGAAAAAACTTTTTTTTCCAGCCATATACGCACAATTTACTCTGACAATTTATTTCTTCAAAAGAACAAGACTGCAGTATCGAATTAAAACTTTTCTGATTTTTGTCCGTGATCGGAAGGAGAATCGGTGTAATTCAGTAGGAAATGCCCCACGGTTTCCTAGTGAAATTGTTGTGTTAAATTATCCTCACCCCCCTCCCACCACCTTTATCGTGTCTCATGTAACTGTAAGCTATCCCGATTCTAATGTATGATTTTTGTGTAATTGCAGGGATAATGGCAGAGGATGAATCGAATAAGCGTATATCGCAGGTGACGTCACTTCCAGCTCCCCAGCCACCACCTCCTCTCTCAAACGTAAGTAACTGAGCTCCTCAGGGATATCTGTTATTCGTTTTGACTTAGCTCTCAGAGCACGTGGTTATGAATATGGGCCTGAATCTTGTCGGCCGGCTGACTTTTACTCACTTGTACGGAAGACGTTAATTTAAGAACATTCTTGGCCATCTGGGTTCGATACTAGAACGTGAAGATAGGCAACGGCATTTTTTTAGTGTTTTTCGTGTTACACGGAGAAAAAAATTTCGTGCGTGGCACCCGAAGTTTAGGTCGTATGGATCTCTGAAGTTTTCGGATTGAGCATCCGAACACTTAAGGTCCAGCTGCTGAGGTTTGGATCACACATCTGAGACTTCAGTTCTTACATCTTAAGTACTTCGGTTTCCACATCCGAAAAACTTCGGTTCTCATATCCGAAAAATTTCGGTTCTCACATCTGAAGTACTTCAGATGTAAGAACTGAAGTTTCAGATGTGTGATCCGAACCTCGACAGCTAGACCTTAAGTGTTCAGATGCTCAATCTGAAAACTTCAGAGATCCATATGACCTAAACTTCGGGTCCCACGCACGAGGTTTTTTTCTCCGTGCATCCAGGCACTTTACACAGAACCGGCCCTGTGGGCATCGTCGTATGAACAAGCGGTCGTCGCTAGATTTCTCACAGGGAAATTTGCGAGTATTCGGGGGTGGAATTCGGTTAAGAAACTCCGTCGGAAGATTTTGGTTGTCACTGCTTCTTCCTGTGACACGGCAAGGCAGCGGTGACCGGTGCGAGCGCCGGCTGGCGCGATCCGCGACCAAATCGGTTGCCGTTGCCTCGGCTCGAGTGGATACTGGTCCTGGATGTGCTCACTAGGTCACGATCGCTGCCGCCGCCGCAGTGCCGCGTCGAGTGAGACAAAAGAAAACGCACGGATGCCACCTATAACGACACCGCTGCTAGTCCTTTGTTCACCAACACACTCCCCCGCTTTCCTCTTCTTTTCGGAACTTGAGAGCCACCGTCCGCGCCGTCGCACCTCCGTACTCAGGAAAAACGCCGTATTAACCATTAGGCGTTGCCAAATTTCTCGGTAAATATATGAATGTTTTTTCCCCAATTTTTCAGATAATTTTGTTCACAATTTCACCTGAAGTTTCTGAACATTTCAAGGAGAAATATTCGTAACTTTCATAAAAAATAAACATTTCGTTGACGGAAATTTGGTAACTCTCAAATGCTCGTACGGCGTTCTTCCTTAGCACGGCAGTCGAGGGCAGTGCTCAAAACCACCAGGTGCCATGCGTTCATGATTTTGGGATCTGCAGGAATAGTTCCTCCTAAAGTTCCTGAACATTTCAAGGAGAAATATTCGTAACTTTCGTCAAAATAGGTAAACGTTTTATCAGAGTAAATTCGGCAACTTTCGAATGTTCATACGGCGTTCCTCCTTAGCACGGCAGTGCCGTATCAAGGATTCAAGGAAGAACGCCGTATGAACATTCGAGAGTTCCCAAATTTCCTCCGATAAAAGTATCATTTTTGAGGAAAGTTAGGAATATTTTCTCACGAAATTTGCAGATGATTCAGCTCTGGCTGCGAATGACATTATCTGGGAAATTCGAGGGAAAATATTCACAAATTTCGCTGTAAATTCTTGTTTTATCAAAGGAAATTTGGCAACGCCCGAAGGTTCATACGGCGTTTTACCTTAGCATGGCAGTAAGGGAGAACGCCGTATGAGCCACCAGACGTTGCCAAATCTCCTTTGACAGATCACGACTTTTCAGGAAAATTTGTGAATATTTCGCCTCCGTCTTTTCAGACGATTTTGCTCGTAATTTGATTTAAATAGTCTGAAAATTGAAAGGAAAAACATTCATAACTTTCCTTAAAAATAAGTATTTTCCGAGAGAAAAATTGGCAGCATTCGAATGGCGAATGAAGTAATTGTAGCGTTGATATCTTAAACTCATATTAAGATATCAAGGCTACAATTACTATATTTTACTTCTATGAACAAGAGAGGAGAGGATAAGCTTTCTTTCTTTATTTGAATCTCTAGAAGTGAGGATCTCTTTTACATTTTTTAGTAAAAGGCAACGTAATGCAACGAAAAAATCCAAGTGGAGAATTCAGATGTTTGAGCCAGGTATGCGGGGAAATGAGGAAATTACGGAAATCCGTAAATTTGTTCGCAACGTAGGTCTGAATAAGTTCGTAACGTGAATATGAAACGCGGAGTTAAGGAGCCAAAGGAAAGGTGGAGGAGTGAAACCACGACAGCGAGGTCACTGCCGTTTCGGGGTATCGCTCGGTTGGAATGGCCCATCAACCAGGAAATGACGGGAAACCGAAGGAAGAATGTAGAGGCAAATTCGCCGAGTTCTGCGCTTGGAAATTGCATTTTTGCGGGCCGGTCGCCAACTGCTTAATCGAGCTGAGGAAAAAACGTCGTGTCAACAGTCAACACTCGACCATTGCCAAATTTTTTCCAATGAGATAAAATTTTCTGTAAAGTTTTCTATTTGAATGGGTCTGTTGAGCACAAGACGCACAGTCAACTAAGTAAAAACGTCATTCGAAACATTTGAGAGCTGCCAAGTTTCTTCCAATAGAATATTCATTTTTGAGGACAGTTATGAATATTTTCTCTTGAAATTTTCAGGTGATAAAGATCTAAATTAACGGAAAATTCTCTGACACTTCTGAGACACTTTATACTGCCGTGCTAAGGAAAAACGCCGTATAAACCTTCGTCGGTTGCTAAATTTCTCCTGATCGATAACGAATTTTCAGGATAACTTGTGAATATTTTTCGTTTTATTTTTCAGAGAATTTTCCGTTAATTTAGATCTTTATCACCTGAAAATTTCAAGAGAAAATATTCATAACTGTCCTCAAAAATGAATATTCTATTGGAAGAAATTTGGCAGCTCTCAAATGTTTCGAATGACGTTTTTCCTTAGCACGGCAGTACAGCAATCTTCACGATTGGTCAACCTTAAACCTCGTTTTTTAACCTGAAATAACGTGTCCTCTGACCTTTTGAATTCTCCCATAAATACATCAATATTCTATCGGGGAAATGTTGGCAACATTTGGCTGTTCATGCGACGTTCTTTCCCAGCGCGGGAGAGCAGATTCTGGATGGTATCCTTTGGAATGATGGAAGCGTTTCATTTGAGAGTGGCTCTGAGCTCGCGACGACAAGCCTTGAACAGTGTGAACTAGCCCCGAGGCGTTTGGCAAACGGCATAGCAGTTGTGGCCACACTGTGCTGCTGTCTCGTCCGAGCTTTCAAGCTCATAATCAAACTACTTTGTACCCTCTCCTAAAACTTCAGCTTACCGGTTTTGCCGAGCTCGTGAGATTTGTCAAACGGGAATACCGCTCCTTTGGACCGTCCATTAACGACGTCAGGATCAAAGGATGTCTGACATGTATCTGACGATAGTATGAAGGAGCTTTACAACCTGACGTCAGGCTATAATCGGCGTAAACCGTTCTTTTTAAGGGGAGTCCGATCGGAAAGGTGCGTAGCGCCGATTTTTTGTTATAAGGCCGAACCGTGAATCATCAGCTTGCTTCCCATTTGAAGCCATGGTAAAGAATCTATATGTATTATTTAGGTGTTGGTTGCGAACTTCCTGATAATGGAGATGTTGCATGTTTGAGGAATTTGCAATTTGACCATTGACTCTTATGTAAAAGTTCGCGAGAAACACGATGGTACCACTGGTTTTCTCTGAAATCAACTCCCAAGCTAAAAAAAAAAAGCTCTCAAGTAGAGGCCAAAATGGCGGGGATATCCCACGCTATCCTGAGAGTCCACGTCTACATCAAGACAAACTCTCCGTGCGAGGGGAGGGAGCAAATACATTGGCAGGGCTGCCACTTTATTTTGGAACTCAAAAACTGAAAACACGGCAACCCTGCTAATGTATTTGATCCCTATCTTTGCATGGAGAGTTTGTCTTGATGTAGAGGTGGACTCTCAGGATAGCGTGGGATATCCCCTCCATTTTGGCCTTAACCTTAGAGCTTTTTTTCAGCTTGAGAGATGATTCCAGAGAGAACCAGTAGCGTCATCGTGTTTCTCGCGAACTTTTACCCAAGAATCTCTATATAATAATAAAATCTCTATATAATAATAAATTCTGCAGATTTTTTTGAGGTGTATGCAATAGTGATCGGTTCATAATTTTTCTTCGCTATCCAGCGGTGAGGATTTTGAGATTGTGATAGTTTTTGAGCAACGAAATTCGATTTTTACGAAATTATGCGCCGAAAATTTACGAGGTGAGAGTCGGACGAAGCTGGTTTCTAGACCTCAAATACACTTCATTAGTAAACTATGCTTTCATTACACCGTGTAAATCTTTTTTCTCGTGGAAGGTAGAAAAACGGAGACATACTCTTGGTGAAACGACAAGACGCAACAGTTATCTAGATTACTAGTGTTTGTCGAAGGTCAAAGTACAACCCGCCCGTTAATTCCATGATATGATAAGGAACCGTTATCAGCCCCGGAGTCAGGATCGAACCTAGTCACAGTCTTGTGTTTACGTTATCCTGCCTGTGTGCTGGGCTGGGTCCTGCCTTTACTTCTTACGGAGGGGATACATGGGTTCAGGGTTGTCGTGGTTGCAGCTTTGGAGTTCCCACACAAAGTGGCAACCTTTCAAACGTATTTGCTCCCTATCTGTGTAGAGTCCCTTCATACCGAGAGTTACGACATCTTAATTTTGATCGGGCTGAAATTGGCCTAAAAAAAATTCAATTCTGATTGGTTCTCGCTCATGGAGTCACAAAAGAGTGCACCAAGATGGCGGTGGCTCGAATGTGAATAAAAATAATGAAAATATTACCTAATTCTGCTTTATCAAGAGTAAATTGTCATTTCCATCGGTCCAAAATGAAAATAGGTAGATCGAGAAATGATTCACAAACCAATCTCATTTTATTTTTAATTGATCAGTTTTGTTGATGTCGTTATTTTTGGATGACAGACATCGCAGGATTCCTCATCCTTAT